GTCGTCGTCGCTGTTGTTACCGCTGTTGTTGTTTTTGTTTCTGATATTATTGTTTATTTTAGTGAGTTCACACGTTTAGTTTTCTTTTGCGTGGTTAGCAGTAAGTTCATGGAAAATGCCAATATCGATCGTAGTAATTGTTCGCGTTATTGGGGTATGGCGTTTACATACTATCCTGAATTCATTCAGAATTGCAGCGCATTTTTCGTTGGATACAATTCTCATTACGTAATAATAATAATAATAATAATAATAATAACAATAATAATAATAATAGAGTATGGTCGTTGTTTACATCCTTTGTTTTGTCCCGATGACTTTAGCTCAGAAAACGAGGTGTAAGTTGAACACCTCACGGGTTTATATTTCTCATTGACTCCGGTGTTATTTTCGAGGGTTGTCTTTCAATGGATCTTCAGTCATTATTTGTCGGGTTTTTAGGGCGATCATGGTTTCGTTATTAAGACGTTTGTTTAGTCAGTTCGCGTTGTGGTCTTATCATTCTTTTTCGTTGTTGTGATGCTGCTTTGAAATGTCGTTTTTGGTATTGAAAAATGATTACTTGTTTATATATCGATGGCGTTCAGAGAACCATTGGTAACTGCCAATGCGTCTAATGATTGGTAAACGACACAGCAGTGTTTCATTGGCACTCCGTGGTGGGCTATCTCTTAGTTGGTTGGATTATAAACAGCTCTTAGTGCTAATAAATACTATTTCGATTTTCCTTTGCGTGGCTCAGTTAAGGTTTGTGGACCTTGTTCGGTACCTTTCAACTTCCAGTCGATTCTTGTTGATCGTAATTGTTTGTATAGATAGATAGATAGATAGATAGATAGAAATCATACATATGCGTTTTAAGCCGCTGTTATATTATCTGTGTCTTGCATCTGTGTCTTGTCATATGTTGTTGTTGCATTCAACATTATTTTAGCTTTTTCTCTTGGATCAACTGGAGATGTGGATGGTTGGTAAGTAGAAGAGACATAGATTAGAGGTATTATTACGTCGTAGTTATGTCGATGGTTGAATAATAACAACAACGGTATTAGTAGTTTTAAAAATTGTCGATACTCAAAGCGATAGGGAGACAGAATAGACCATTAAGAGGGACCTCCGCCTCTGCCTTTTCACTTTTCACATCATCCATTATTGTTATTGTTATATTTTCTCTTATTATCTATTTTTTGTGTTTATATTTTGATTTCTTTTTTAATAGTTTAACATTCAATTTTCACTTCTTTTCGCTCGTCAGTTCCTGTATTCGGATCTTGTACAGACAGATGGATAGACATCGCTTCGTTGAATAGCTGAGCGGTTTTGTCTTCATTATATCAAATAGTATACCATGCTGTTAGTCTTCTTCTTATTATTATTATTAATTGGGTGATATTTGTTAACTATTGTTGCTGCTATCATTGTTATTGTTATTATAGTTTTTTGAAATGCCGGAGATTCTTCTCTGCGTTTTCCAGTAGCCAGCATCATCAATACAATAGGCACTGGTACGCGTATGAAAAGATCGAGGTAGAATGAATTTATGACAGAACGAGTAGGTATATTAGATTAACTGACATCTGCGTCAGTTGATTGTTTGGTGAGTATTGAATAGTTGAGAGCTGAGAATGAGTTAGTAAAGTTAGATAGCAGAAGTTCGTAACTGTTCGAAGAGAAATGTGGAAGAAACAGTAATAGAGTCAGAGATCAGAGATAGTAGTTCAGAGAGCGGGCCAGAGATATTTCCTGCCGGTCGACTGTTTGCTTCGAAGCAAACTCACACTTTTCTTTGAGTGAAGTCGTCGTCGTCGTCGTCGTCGCTATTGGACAAATGTTCGGAAGTCTCAGTGGTAGTGTCGGAGCTCTGAACGAGTCACCGACATCAACCCTCGAGACTCTGTACGGTATGGACCGGCAGGAAACATCTAATGCTCGCTTCCTGCATAAAGATAGCAGAGTAGTCGGAACGATGATGGGCGCCTCGCAGCGTCTACTGCCCGAAGTAAAGATTAGGCAACCACGCGAGCCTCGATCCTTCGAGCGCCGTCGGATTCAGAAAGATCGTTGTAGTAAAGTGTAAGCACTCATCTTTGTCTCCGTTGTGATACAACACACGCGTTCATATACAAATCAACTATGTAGAAAAGCAACCATTTTGTTCGCTTAAGGGTTCGAGACACGCTCGGTTAGGTGCCGGGTGAGAAAGGATTGAGAACACCTGGCGGACGCTGCGACTGGCGACGGTAAAAAGGAGTACGGTGTTGAGGCCGTCGCCAAACCGTTATAGAAGTAGTAGTATTGGCAAACTGTATTTGGCGCCTGAACGACCGTATTCTTCAGCAAACTCTTCATCATCTTGATCTGTCTTCGTCGATTTGAAGATGGCTCCTTTATGAGGGTATGTTTGGTCTGATTGCTTGGTGTGCCCTTGTCTCATTGTTTATCCGCATTCTCTAAAGGGTTATTGTATTTAGATTTTTGTTGTTGAGGCCTTTATTTCGAATTGTCGTTGAATTCATAGCCAATTCCGCGTTAGTTAGGTCTATTCTATTCATGAGCAGGATTATGACTGACTTTTAGCTGTTCAAGGTTTATTTGACCTTTGTTTTTCAATGTCTGTTATTCTCCTCGGAAATTATGGTATTCTGACAAGTTGTAATGCTCCAGCTGTTGTTGTTGATCGTTATAAATACACGATGGTTATTGGTAATTGCTTGACACATACTTGTTTAATTTAATTAGATGTTTATTGTTGTGATTGTGATATTTGGTATCGTTCACTATAATATTCTTGCTGATGTCAGAAGAATAAAAACTTCTATTGTTGTATCGTCGTGTTTGATTGGCCTGTTTAAGCCTATTCCGTTGTGTCTAGGATGCTGATGGTCTGGCACCCCAAAGCGAAGCGATAGCTGTGTGCGTCGCAATCCTCATTTATTAACGCATTTTATACCAATAGAATGAAATTGCACGAATGTTTCGTCCTGTTCCGAAGAGACTCAGGACACAGGCAAACGTAATGGTCAGAAAGAAACAGGGTAAGCCGCCTACGTCGAGCCGAATAGGCTAAATTTGCTACTACGATTGAGACTGTCGTCCATGCGCTAGATACGCTATACGCTGTGTACACGGACATTTTATGCAATGACTCTAATTAGTTTCTAGGTTAAAATTTGATGTATGTATTGGTAATAGTATTTTTTTATGGTATTTTTTTGCCATTTATGTCAACATTTGGCGTTATAGTCAACACATCGACTATTCTAAACTTTCGTCGCTTGTTGCAAAGCCTTTGCCAGCGAGGCGTTAAAGTTGACCAAAGGGAAGCCTTGATTGAAGAGTATATTGTGCATTCAAAAAAGAAGGAGTTTCAATATAATTAGAGTATTTTTGTGACAGATAATTTACTGCCGCTATAATTTTCTGTTGAGGAATTGCACGCAACAGCTTGGCCGAAGCAAATGTTCTCCATTTTGTCATAGTCATCGAATATATCTTGACATTGTTGCCGAGGTGCTCATTGCTATTGTGTACTAAGCTTATTCTTTTTTTGTTCTACATTAATTAGGAGTCAATCAGTATTTTGTTGATTTGTATCGCGTTCACCTGTTATGTTGCGGTTTGGTTCTGCGTTTGATGTTAATTAGCTTGTATATTTCCGCGAGAAGCTTGCCTCCAATACGGCAGTTCAACCTACAAGTTATTCGATAGAGGGAAAAATACCCGGCCGTGATTCCTCTAAGTGAAGCGTCCATATTTAGAGTTCGCTCACATTTTAATATGCAGTGTTTGTTTGTGTATATTTGTGCCGTCCGCACTCATGAGGCCATCTTGCTTTTGATAAGTAGTTAGTTCTAATAGCTCTTACGACCGTTTAGGCTTTTTTTTTTTTTTTTTTTTTGGGTTCATTCTTTTTCTCACCTTAGTTGAATTATTTAATTGATAGAGTATTTTTTTACCTATCAATTATTAATATTATTGGTATTGCGCGTTATCGGCTTCAACTCGTGCATCTTCCAACTTTCCTATGATCTACGTCCTGGAAATTTTTCCACACAGCATCGATTTCATTCTTTGTCACCCACGCTTGCAAATTCCTATTGTTTATTATAATCTTCCATACGCACTAACTGGCAGTGATATATATATATTCATATATATCATTTATTGGCATTATTTTGTATACGACCAACCATCATAGTAATAACTCAGTCATCCATTGTTGTTATGTTCAGTAGTAGTACAATTCGTACGACTAGAGATAATGGTATTCTGTGTGTGACGACACGATTATCACATATTCTTCACTTTTCTCATACAATCATTCTCCTTATTGGAAATTGGAGACTACTAATTGTCGAGCACTCTGGCCCCTGATTGCAGCTGACGTGCATCAGAGTTCAAACCTCATTCCGAGAAAATCAGAGTGTTACACAATGCTCTCGTTCCAACAGCACTGGCCAGTGTATATTACGTTGCTAGTATATACTGTGAGAACTATCAGAGCACCGGTCAACGATCTGAGGGTTGTCAGCTGTTTCACAAAAAGCCGACAAAGCATTTTTCTCAGACGAAATCCATATCTGATTCTGCTTGACTCTAACTGTGAACTACGTGTCGTAGTCGTGCAGTAGCTGCTTGCAGAGACGTCCGACCTGTTCTCTCGGTTTGGCAGGACGGAGTAGTAATAGTCGACAAGGTAATCACGGTCGGGTATTTGAAAAAAAGAAAAAAGAGGATAGGATAGTGTTTGTTGATAAAGTAGTTGTAATGTCATCGTTATTAGTCATTGTTGTTCTAATGCTTATTTAGTAATAACACTAATATTGTTTTAATAGAATTATTGATATTATATGCTGCTCGAGTTCTTAATGATAAGTACACGAATTGTTCGTGATAGCGGTATATGATCGAGATCAGCATACGATAATAGAGATCATATATAAGTAATGTCACTATGTGCCCTAGTTCTCCACAGTAGCTAGTGTATGGAGAGGCAAGAGTGTGCTGTCTTTATAGCAAAGCAGCTTATTTCAATACTTTTTCTTTTCTTATTACTTTCATTATTATGATATTAGGAATACTACTTAGATACAATAAATAGCGTTACTTGCATGATGGTCGATCACCTATTTACTTACTATTATTGTTACTCTTACCATTTTCTGTAGCTTGAAAATACATAATTTTAACACTTATAAGGTACCTTGGTCTTGTATCACTTGCTAGAAAATACGGCTCGAGGACACTGCGAGGACGGGCTTTAAGTCAAAATCCCCGAAGGCCGTGAGACCATAGTGCACGCAGGACAAGAACGAAGAGTCGTCCACGCCCTTCGAGACATCGTCATCACCTAACACTATAGAACTTGTCCCTCTCGTATCCTCTTTCTGTTTTGCATTATTCATTGTCATAATATCAACAGCAGTCAGAGGAGCGCCACGCCATTCGAATAGGTGCGGCAGTCGTGGTTTATGTTATTTTTCCTTTTATTGTCTACATAGATTACCAAACGCGTTATGTAAAAAAAATGGCTTAGTGATGTTATCGTCATGACTATTCGTAACATTATCAGTACAGCACATATATATATAACCGTGTTGATGAGAGATGTGATGCTGGTGGAAATTCGCGACAAGAAGTAGTTGGCGTACTCGGAACTTGAATCATAACTTCATTCATTACATCGTCATTGTATCACCTTTCATACTCATGATGTTATTATTTGTTTCATCATCTATCATGGCGAATACGTTATGTCCTTAGTTTGGTTGGTCTGTCAAGAGTGAATGGTGTCCATTAGTCACTTTTGTGTATAATATCACCGTTTATTAACACTGTTGTCCACGTTGATGTAGCAGTAGGAGATGGCTGTAGGAGGTAGAATTAGTTACAGTAGAAAGAGCGGTTTTATAGAGAATTGATTTGCAGTTATTAGTAGCATTGGTAGTAGTAGCACAAAACACACAGAGATCAATAGATAGTCTCGGTTTATATGTTTAATTGCTTTCTTTTTTTTCTCTTGCTTCTTCGTGCTTGTCGGGAGCTTACAGATGGTCCTCTTCCACGGAGAATCGCCCCCATGCGAGTGGCCTGGTCCCATGCGGGGCGTTTCCCATAGCGATGATGTTGTCGTTTGCTGATGTGGTCAGTTGTCTATGCGGAATCAGGAGAAACTGTCGTTTGTGAAAACTTCTTCCGGATCCGACGGCGATCTGACCTCAAACAGTAACTGGTCTAACGGGCAGAGCAGCGTTCCCTCTTCGCTGTCCTCGGGTCAGCACCATTCGTCATCGGAGCCGTTATAGCCGCGCGGGGTGTGCACGGCGATGATGGTGTCCCTTGGTTTGTGGGTGGTGTGCCCTCCCCAGAATCCCGCACTCGATCCTAGAGGGTCTCCTGATGTCCGGAGCCCAAAAGAAATGGCAACAGAAAGACATCAATAATAGCTTGCCCACTCCATATATATAACCTGTATTTGGTCGCATGTTTTATAAGTTGAGATTCTTAAATATATATCAGCACCTTGCGGAACACCCCCTATGGGGCATCGGATGTTACAAGGAGTGTAGGGACGATATTTTATTTCCTTGAACGTCTCCATACGCCGCTGACCTAATCTACGAGTGATAAACTTATTTTTAAGGTCAAGTTTAATCAGATAGAAATTGTCTTGTTACGAAAAAGACATCTTCCCTTTGCTTAACTTTACAGCATGCCCTAGATTTATCTCACATTTAAAGGGTTGCTTATATTTTTAGGTTGTGCTATGCGTTACCATGTGAGTCTTGAGGGGATTGTCAGTTGTCTCGCTTAATCAAATTCTCACCTGGCTTGCACCCATTCGGCAGCTGCTGAGTTGGCGGCAGATGACGCAGGTCCCCATAGAATGGCGGCTGCGTGCTTGCTGATCGGTAGCTAGGATAGGGCTCATGTCTACTCCATGTTGTCACGTGGGATGGGGTCGAACGCGTTGGAGAAGCGCTGACCTTTGGGAAGTTTATCGATCCGGCGTGGCGATAGTGCGCCAACGTTGGTGAAAGCGCCACAGATGGAAGTTGATAGTTCGTCGCAACGTTATCTACGTTGGCCGACCTAAGCAGCAATAGGGTGGAGGGTTTATTGGGCGTGGGTGGCAATCGACGTCCTCGTCGAACGCTGCCCAATGCGAAGATACCCGGTGCTACCGGCAAACTCTGGGCGGATGTCGCGGGGCTTGGCGACCGCGACTTCCGGTCCCCGCCGGTGGTTCCTGTCCATTCCGTAGTCGAGATGATCACAGAACCGACAAACGATCATACAGACATGGCGATCCAATAACGACAGTAATAAAAGGATTGAATAAAGTTATTGAACAACTTCAGTTTTTTCAAAAAAAACAAAATTATTGATAAAATGCGCATGTTTACTGCATAGCGCGCAAAAAATCAATCGAAAGAAGTTGCTTCGATCAAAAACCAAGCTGACATATTTAGCTAATGCTCATTGCGGAAGCTAAATTTGTAAGCATGAAGTCTTGACCTGCGATTTAGCTAAGACCCAGTCACGATTTTATTTCAATACAGTTTCCCATGTTGTCTCCTCTAGGCAGATATTTCTGCTAGTGGCCCTTACCGTAGTAGTGACTTTGTGTGTGGGTCCTATAGTGTTGTTTTCTATGGTGATGCGCTAACGCTGAATGATGTTGGGATAAAGCCTGAGGACTACCAGGCGATGGTGGGCGGGATCTTCTATTGAGAGGAGTTGTTCGGTATTCGGGGCTAGTATGCCTACTGCTTGTACCATGACAGTGGTGCCGTTGGCCATGACGATGTCGACTGGGGGATCTTTCGAACCGACGTGGTGACGAGAAGTACTCATCTCCGTGTAATTGGGCTTGAAGTTATTATTGGCGAGCAGAACCGCAGTGAAAGAAGAAACGAAAGAAAACGAAGGCAAAATAGAGTCAACGATTGGATACCGATCCGCTTAAACCGACTGGATGCAATAGAATATGTATGCCAATTGTGCAATGCAAAAATATACGCAGTAAGTGATCTCTCAGAGTTTACTTACCCCTAGCTCGTCCTCTCCGAGAGGTTTCATACTTGACCATGTCGACGACATCGCTAACTGCGTCCGCTAAGCCCCTTCTAGGCGAAGGCGACGGAGATCGCCTTCGCAAGTAAGAGGACCGACGTCCATCTGGGCGTTGTTCTGGAGGCGACAACGAGCCACGGCGACGCGGCGACGGGGACCGCCCTCTCACACTGCGCTCCGGGTGGAGATGACTCGACGGGCCACCGTGCGAACAGCCCGACTCCGATCCTATTCAGCATTCAGGCACAATAGTGAACATTATCTGTGTCCAAATGTAAAGATTGGTAAATTTGATCAAATGCACCTACACGCAGCGGTCTAGCTGTTGTAATTAGTCAAGATTAAGATGGAACTTGCAGAGTTAGCACTTAGTTTCCTACCTGACTGGAGCTGCTGAGTCTGAGCTGCGTGGCTGGCCCGCTGCTGCGTTGCTGCCGCTACTTCCATTTGTTCCACCTTGGACAGAGCGTAATAACAATAATAATCGTCGGTAAGAAAAGTCAAACTGTTAGATAATTAACCAACAACAATTTCACGTTGAGCGACAATACCATAGAGCAATAACGAGGACAACGGAAATGTATAACATTCGTTTGGATGCAATTCCAATGCAATACAGTTTGTTATTACGGCTGTATCTCTTCCCTTAGTGCGACTTCGTCAGCAAACAATATGGGTCTTCGCCAGCGCTCGCAACGATGGCCACAGAGAGGTCATAGGTCGAAGGCAAACATGACGATAGGTTAAGCGACAAATGTATCATATAGAAGACGAAAACCGCAAATACAGAGGACGCCCTACTTTGGTTATTTGCAGGATTTACTTACAAGCTCGTTAAACTTTTTAACGCTATGAAATATTCTATTAGGGTATGTTCAAATCACATTAGCTAATTTAATTAATATTAGGTTGGCGGAAACGTTCCCACTACCATTTGGTATCTTTTTAGTACAATATTAATCCGTAGTGTAGCCTGTTCTATAATACGGGTTTTTTGACAATATTTTTAAATGTGTTCCACTGAAGTTGGGCAAAGTAGTTTGTGAAAATATTGCTTAGCTGGTTATGAGGTCGGTCTGACTCGTTAAATTTTCGCCTCCTATTTGATTCGATATAAAGGCCCAGTATCTATTTTTAGGGAGCGTTGTAAAGAATAATCCCTGTAACTCCTTGAGGAGATGTTTGTGGAATTGGGTCTCGCGTTGTCGTAAGGCACGACAAATTAATCGTGTTAATTAAAACTTTTTTGGCGAGAAGCTTCGTTTAAACAAAACTGCTTAGAGATATTGATCAATTGCCGTAGCTTCCCCGAACGTTTTCCACTACACCGGGCCTTCGCCTTACTACTATACACAAGTTAGATATGGATAGAGTTGGTGCTTCAGGTTTGGCGTGAGGTCTACCACCTGCAGGAATTCACATCTTAATGTTGAGATAGAGACGCCAGAAAAATCTGTTACTGCGCAGGCGCTTCACCCCGTGACCAGTAAAATACTGGCAGCACCGGCGGGCCGATTTACTTTAAACGACACCACTTCAAAGAGAACCTATTGATCGAAGAAGGCAGGTTACGGTATCGTGGCTAGGGTCCATCTTCACGGCAAAATGTCGCTTAGACTGGCAGACACTCTTCTGTAAAGACGCCCGCAAATCTTCCTCATCGATGTCGGATGGTACCAATGTGATGCATTGTTTTTGTCTTAATTAGAATTTCTAAAAATTTATATTTCGTAAATCATGCTCAGGCAGCCTTTTCAACAATCGCGCTTTTTTTTCATTCCGTTTTCCGCTTTTACCGAAATGCCTCAGTAGCGCCTTAATCTTAATATAGGACACTGGACATGCGCGTTTATAGCGTCTCAAACATCCATATATCGAAGCCTGCTTACTTTCGAACGAAAAAAAAATATAATAGATTTATTGTTTAGCAAAATGCGTTCGTATGGCAGGCTGCACGAGCTGCAACACCCGAGTGGAAAATGAAAGAAAAAAGTTAAAAAAAACTTTGTGACGGGATCTTTTCCGCCAACATGATGCCAGGGCGTGTGTGACGAAGGATGGGTCGCAAAACGCTAACGACGTAGAGTGACGTTGTCATGGCCGAATGGTGGTGTTATGGTTGAGATACAGAGGTGAGACACGGGCTGACCGTTTGGATTTCTAGCCGATAAACTTTAAACTATCACATGTGCACGTATCATTGAGACAATATTGGACAGTTGCGGCGTTGTCCTGAAGCCGTTTGTTATGCCGTACGAAAAAAAACGCAGGATTTGCGCGGATATATTAGCTAATATGTATTTTGCGCAGCAGAAAATACGTTGCTGCAATATTTAAAACGAGTGATCCACAGATCGTTGAAACGAAACTGAGTACGTTAGCCGTAGTTCAAATAACAGGGGAGACAAGAGTTGCAGGGCACTGCCATATAAGTAGATATATATGAGCTCCGACTGGCCATTGCAATTATCAAATTCGAACTTCTTCTAGTACTCTTTAGCCGGCTTACAGCAAACTGTTGGCGGGAACACGGAACCCTTTTGCAATATTAGTGAATTATTTATAAGACGATCTTCTTTAAACTGAGACGACTGTACACTGAGGCGTGTCTGTGTACGTGTGTTTGTTTGCACTATTCTGGTACAATCTAGATTAGTCTGTGTGATCGGCAATTATTCACATATATTCAATCATTAATTAAATTTAGTGATACCAGCGCGTTAGTTGAATGTAGTGAACATGAGCTTTGATATGGGGTAAAAGCTGGGTCAAGGTACGTAATTCTCACCTTGAATAATCCCGCTCCCGGAAATACTTGAAACCTGTGAGCTCGCCAGTTCTCCAGAATCAGAAGGCCGCCATAGACTTTGCCTACTGTTAATTTCCCTGTACGCAGCTCTGAGGAAAGAAGAAATAATTGTCACAAAATGTTCGCTGAAAAAAACTTACCACGCGAGTGAATCATTTGAGTTAGCTAGACAAATAACTATCTTCCTTTCAAAGTATTTTCGAACGCACCTGAGTCTGGGGGGACTAGTTTGTCAGTGACCTTCTCAGCTTGAAGTGGCCAAAGCTTCTGAATGGTGACTCGCAACTCTTTATCTGCCATATCCATTTCTTCAGCGGGTCGCATTTTTATCGACAGGTTTTCCCGAATCAGCGCAAACAGCGTTGAGGTAAAGTTGACTTTGCCCTCCTCTGTTAACGGCATGTTCATACGAATCAGTTTCTTGTAAGCCAGCCTGTAAGGGCATTTGTTTCCAAAACCAAGGGGTGGCTCCATGTTCCTCAGCATGTCGTACATCTCGGTATAATGGATGTACCCCCTAAAAAAATCGATAAATATAGTATTATCAGTAGGCTTTGACTCTGACCACATACTCGTATTACACTTCAATGAAGGGAATGAAGGGAAATGGAAATGTCGCATAATAGTTTCGAAATGTAGTTTATTTGTTGCTATTTGTAGAGCTGTTATATGCATCGTAATATATTATGCCAATGTTGGGAGCTTGCTTTATGTCCAATAAGCTTTCGTAGAAATTGTTTAAAATAAAATTTACTCACGTGGCGTTTGGATCGTACTCGGCCCACACTCGAATGAACTCGTCGAGGTGATGGGCTCCGAGAATAGACGAGTCTCTTGTCAAGTAATCGAAGTTGTCCATGATCACAGCCACGAATAGATTCAGCATCTGAATAGTAATCGGACGTTAGTCTACATATAATATTAGCATTTGTTTCGAAATTATGCTGCCAGTCCGTAATACCGTAGTATAGTAAGCAATTTTTACTAAAAAAATACTATATAATATGTTCGAGCGCAACTCATACTATTGAGGCTTTAGGTACGTAAATAGATATTTACGATAATTCGACCTGCTTTTTACAATACAATTGTCTCATGTCGTAAAATATGCGAACATTCTTCTTTTCTGTATGCAAGCATATTAGCTCTAAATGGGAACTAAACGACCGCACTAAAGGATCGTGTTTAGTCTTGTTTTTATACAAAGTTTATGAACTATACTATCTATCTATCTATATATATATATATATATATATATATATATATATATCTATATATATATATATATATATATATATCAATCAAGTCGATGGTTTTGAAATGGTACTTAAGCTTAAAACTCTGTCTCAGTTAGCGGCAAAGGCCGATAACTATAAACGCAAGATGAAAACACGAATGCTGAGTTGATTACTTATCTATAGTAACATTTTCATTGTTGGAAGGCCACTACTTTCTCTACAAAGTCGCTCTTTTCCGTGAAAGCTTTCGCTTAGGCTGGCAATTGTAGAAGCTATCATTATCACAATTAAACAAGGTAGAGGTAATACACCGAAGTCTTTAGAAAGCCAAAATTATTATTTTTTTTTTTGTTTTTCCGCGGCAGTCGTATTAGCAGTAACTTGTTTTTTAAGTGGTTCCATGAAGCTGTTTAGGCAAAACATGATAAAACAATAAGAACGTACGCAGTTTAGTTTATGGACCAGTTATGTCTATTGAATGGCGTTTGAATATAGTGCAAGAGGCCGCTGCAGTCGGTGTTGTTGAGAGTTCTTAATCGTATCATTGTCAACACGAGCGAATTAGGACAAACGAAATTAAGGAAATCAGAAAAATGCGCATAAAACGGTCTGCTGTTGGCCCTTACCAAAAATGAACAGAAGAAGATGAACGACACGAAATAGGCGTATGCGATGTTTGACCCGCACTCGTTGGTCTCTTTCTTGGTTAACGGGTCGCATGGACGCCCCTTGATGCAGGCCAACATTATGGCCTGCCACGCCTCTCCCGTAGCACATCTGTGTATTATTTTGTTTTTTTGCGCATATTCGTACAAATCGGCCAGCGACGAACATTTGCACGTTCGCAGGCGAATTCCCCGGTCCGAAGAGAAGCGGCAAGACCATAACGTTTCGTTTATGGGATATAAACGACATTGTTAGTCTACGTATCATACGCGTAAGACTTTCGTACGAACTAATGTTTACGGTAACACGAAATCGTCGTATGCAATAACGAAGCCATGCAGCCATTGAACATTGTAAAAATGAAAGATGCAATAGGAACACAAGTAGACGCGATCGGAGATCAAAAGTTCATCTCATCCCTAGGAATACAATCGCCACGTTGCGAGATCTAGTTAATGTATGATAGCATCGTCTATTTAATGCAATTACATTGTTTCGTAAAACGGTAGCCACCATATGCGGTCGTATGCATGCAGTATAACATAATTGATTTCATCAACGAAATATAACGATAGCTCAAAGTGCTAATGGTTATATAGTGGGCGGGCTGAAGAAGGCAATAGAGATCTGGTCTCGTAGCTGTTGTAGGCAATGTTGGTATTGTTGCCAATTTTTAACCGGTTTCTGCGTAAATTTTTGTTTTTTTTTATGCAAATGGCAACGGCCGGTAATTGTACCGCCGCTTGATGAAGAGACCCCCTAACTTGCCTGAATAATAGCATCAATCCTTGAAAGAAGTTTCTGAAGTTATTGTGCCTTGTAATTTGGGTCTCGGGAGCAAGCTGGATATTACCGAAAACCTACGAAGAAGATGCCGAAAGAGAGCGCGTTACCGTTATGGCTACAGCTACCGCTACTACCACGAGTTCTAGTCTAGACTAATCTAAACTATTCAAAATGTCTTCCTACGATTTGCGTACACTACGATATCTCTGCAATCTCTACAGGCTACGGTGCTCACTGATGAGCGGACTAGACTCTTGCTACGTTTGCTACAATCGCTACTACTGGTGACTACGTCTATCGCTACAAGTTGTCTTTTGACCTCTACGAGAACTGTAATATAAAATCACTTTTAGAGTCATTTAGTGACCAGATTCTACTGATGTGTCCTCACTATCTACTAAAATACCCGAATATCTGCTAGAGGGCACCCCTAAACTAGAAACTACGGTGCCGAATGGACCTATACTCGTCCCTCTGTTGTAAAAGCCCCACAAGAGTCTGAACCTTAGCCGCGACCATGATGCACAAAATTTTTCCCAAATGCCAATCAACTCTACAGACTTATTGCTGGCAAGATTCGACGAAGCCATATTTCGTATCGGCTACTGCTCTACGTTGGGACATCACTACGAAAACTGAGCGTGTAAGTTGAAAAGTTGAAAGTCTACAATTGTTCATTTTCGTCGTGGCTTTCACTTAGATATTTATCTTTTGATGAATCGCAAAATGGAGTGTTCGGCGAGTCATTTTCTCAGTGTTTTACATCAAATACCGTTTTACACAACATAAAGTGTTTCGAAATAGGACGAACATAATTTCGAATTCGCGTCTGCGCAGACCAGGATGAGCAACCTGCTTATATAAACCTACGACGAAACCAACAATTTCGATAGCTACCGAAGCGCGATAGAAAAATAATATTCGCGCTAATACGCTCATCAATCTAGCTATGTCGAACTTGTCGAAATTCTACTGCAGCTACCAATAGAGAACCTACGAAAAATAGTCGGAAACAACGGCAAGCAATGATAAAGGAACTGCAAGGAAAGTGTGGACGGAGTTGTTCAGCAAGAGGCCATGTGTGAATAGAGGTGTGATACTCCAGGTCCGACGAGGTACGGCTAGTCCGCTGCAAGGCCCCTCTAGAGCAGCAGTTCGGTCTATCCAAAGTGCACTCTGTCCAAAGGCGATCTTCGGAAGAGCGTCCTAGATGACCTCTTCGAAGATTTCCAAACTTCAGAATGCTCCCGGACCATATGAAGTCGTGCTGGGTCGTGTATGGCCTTCAATAGAAAATGGCCTTTAAAGCCAAAGGCCAATGCGAACTCACCGAAATAGCAATATCAACGCTTGGAAGAAGTTCTGAAAGTTGTTGTGACGATTGATCTCATTGTCTGGGTCGAACTTCACATTACCGAAGACCTGAGAAGATTAACGTATACATTCAGATTGATGCCAACGTTCGGGATTAACAATGACACTTCGAAGAGTATATTGGATTTCATTAGACTGGGTTTAAGTCCGTCATCTTGCACCCTTCAATACTGCCTGTGCAGTGCTGATCACCTTTAAATATCTGCTGAAAATTGTTTTTAATCCATACTGATATTGTCGTCCACTCTCCCTTCAGTAAATTAATAATTATAAAGACTAAATTTGATAGTTTGCGGCTAACAGTCTATCGGATTCAGTAATCGAGATCCGTAAATCCGCTTTTTGCGGCAACCCTCTAGTACTACGCCGCAGTCTACTGCTTTAACTGCGAAGTCGCTATCTGTTCTGTTCTGTTATGTTCCGTCGCTGAAATGCTGCAGGTTACAAGTCTATTCATTACGACTTACCTGCATGCCGATAATGGCATAGATGAAAAATAACATGGCAATAAGAAGGCAGACGTAAGGCAGTGCCTGGAATTCAATATACGGGTTGGTTAGCATGGTTAAGCAAAAATATGATTGATACAAGATCTCAGTTCTATGGGCGCTGAACAGCCGAGTCCTAAGGTTTTCGAAATACTTCTTTCTTTCTTCGAAAAGAGTCGTTCTTTTTAGCTTGTCCTAATTATGATACATTTAGACGACGTTGAAATTGAAACGATCCTAAATATAAACCGAACATTTTTTTTTCTCAATTTTTTCTAAATATTAGCGGAACAAAATAAGGTCGAAGTATATAGAACAAACATTTAAACACTTTGTTGAGTTCACCGGTATCCGGTTCAACGGAATTGTCGACGACTGAATGCTACCGTACCTTAAAGCATCACTCCAAACGTGGCGAATTATAATGTATTATATAAACCTATCGATTCAATGGTCCTTGTCATTTTCCCTTGGTGGCCATATCGGATCATATGGTCAACTTTTTGATGATTAAAAATGGAAATTTTCTTAGATGTGAAATAAAAAAAAATGTACACCTTGTACATAACTAGCGATTACGAGGCGTCCTGAAGAATCAGACCAGCAGTGGCTTTTTTGCAAGGTACCTTTCAGGACATGTTCACACGCAATTTAATAGTTTTATCAGACACATAAAGGATTATCGAAAACAACATGATGTTTAATCTGGTCTCGTTTTAATTGGGTACGCATACATCACAAAAATTCATAACGTCTTATGCGCTATCGTGTGCTTAGATTATCGTATGCCACTTACTTTGAAAGACTGTATAAATGTCCACAGCAGTATCCGAATAGTATAACCTTGTCTCAGTAGCTTAATGAGACGGGCCGCCCTGAATAGGCGGAGAAATCCGACATTGAAGAAACTTATCTGAAAGATGAGGACAATTTACGTAAGTAGACTGAACATTGTTATTCTTATTTAGTATGTTTTAGGATGTAAACGGATGCATATGAATCAATTAAGGACTATCTAAGGATCTATCATTCCAGGAGGGCGCGAATTTGGTGCGTAAGTGTCCATTCGGAGAAACAAACAAAAAAAACAAAGAAAGAATTTGAGAGCAAACATTTTCAGTCTAAGTCTATCTGACGTATGCTCTGACCGCGATAGTACTTGCATTGTTCACGTATGGACAGTCGAATCTAATTATAACGCGGTGGTCTTGTTTAGGTGAATATGAAAAGGGTATCGTCAGTCAGTGACCTGGCTGGCTGTACTCTAGCATAGATGCAACGAAATCCTTAATCTAGCGCACATTTGGAAAATTTTGGATCACAGTTAATTTCGAGACGTAAGGATACCTTCGATCGACCCTTCAAACGTATACGCTATACAACAACAACAACAACAACTGGCATTCACTATAGTCCAAGCTATTTCTGTAACTGGTTGAGATACGCAAATCAAATGTCTTAAGTAACGAAAGACGCGACCGACCATGCAATACGCGAAAACACTTTTTGTTCTTGTCAAAAAAAAATGCTTCAATAGTTTCTCGACGAAATTAACAGAGACACACAAAAACAAAGCTAAGGCAGGGCAGCTTCTCCCGGTAACAGCAATCCGTGATGCGGTAAGGTTACAGCTTCAATGCCAACGATCGGCGAAATATCCGAATCGCTTGCAAACTAACAAGTCAACATACGTGTTTGTGTATATGTACATCTACATGTATATATATATATATATATACATGATGGTAGACATTCAGCACAAGTCAGCTACGGCGAGGCAGCAAAATTGTTTGTTCGTTAGCCTACAGCAGTCTTCGATTAGTATTTTCATCAGTGGCTTATGACTAGCTATGTGTATATTATATTCTAGTCTTGCAAACGATGTCGATTGGTTTCTATGCATCACGCATTACATAGCCCAGTCGCACGCACGCACGCACGCACGCACGCGCGCGCGTTTATACCAAACTTGAAAGTATCAGACTAGCAACTAACTCTTCATGTATCAAACAATATTTGCGCGAAAAAATGACAGTCCTAACGAATATCGCTCTTCTATTAGCCCGTCATATATAACCGTATGCAATAGTAATTAAGTCGAAACTTATTACTGGCAGTCGTTTACACATTCTACGCGTCAAGGAACATATCATCAATCAACTAGAAACTAATTACGGTTAGCTCAAAGCACTGATCGGCAGCAACGCTGGACGCTTGGTGCTTCTGGCTAATCGATAGGTCACTTCTCAGTCCTACGTGTGTGGGTAATTACTGGATTGTGACTAAACGTAAAAAACGTCGAGTCCGCAGACAAATGAACTCGATGTGGCAACTGAATAATTTTTCATTGATTTCTAATGGCCGAAGTGATTATAGTAGGGAGGAGGCACAGGGGACACGGGAAGACAATGTATGGCGAACAACGCTTCAGTATAAAGCGCTTGAAGACTTAAAAAAGATGCGGTAAGTAAGTGGATGGTAGCACGACCATTGACAAACAGCTTGGGCAGGGTCATTCCAGACAACAATCATGTCAATGATGAACTCAATGGGATCATCGGCAACAATGGTAATGGTATTGGTGGAAATGATAGCAATGGCAATGTGGGTTTGGTGGTCTAATTTTTGGTAAGGGTTACTTCGAAGGGATCGCTGGTTTCGCACCTCAGCATCTTGCTGACGAAGGGAATTTCGGGGAGTTGGGTGTGGAGTTTGCTCCATGTCGGAATTGGCGATAGCCTTTTGTCCAGACTGCTTTTACATGTAATGGAAGAACGATAGGAAAAGGACACAGATTGTTTGAGTTTCGAGACAACTTTTCAAAAGCTTTCTCATCTGATCCTGGCTAAGACCCCGCTCACATCCGACTTAGTAGATGTGGGCTAGGTCCGCTCGTAACTATTAACTTGAATTCCATAGAAATACCGCCAAATTGCGGTGATACGCATTAAACACAACATATGGCCTAAACAGAAATTTGACGAATACTAGTACCAGAGCACGATCCATTCGTCAATCAGATTTTCTCATTGATTTGAAGCCCATCGTCCTTATAAAGCATCGGTCGCTCTTCTTTTTTTGTTATGTAATCTAAGGCACCTAAATTATGAAAGGTATCCACCAGTTACGACTGTAATCTCACGTTATATTTTTCAGCGAAATCGCATTTAAAGCTGAATCACTGCTCACTTCTGTCTACGAAATGTGATCATATCCTTGCTATTGCATACGTTTGAAAACTATGAAATGAGTTCCTTTTGTTAGCGCCGTCCGAGAAATTTACATCTGTTATATGTGGTACGCGATGTATTAGGCCGATTCAAATCTGTCACAGCCCAAACAAATCTTTCATTGAAATCAGTTCTTTTCAGGTCTCGTAACTCTGAGTAACCTGAAATTCTACCCTTAATTTTTTTACCAGGCCACTCTTAACTATGGGTTTGCCGGATTTCTTTGTTAAAGCTGCAGCTTTTTGGCTGTGTTTACCTGCAAGTAAGATTTTTTCCGGTCAATTTGCTTAATGAAAACAGTTCTTCTGTACCCTAAATTTTCGGTCGCAAGTGGAAGGAGGTGCGCTTTGTTCACAAACGCTGCTTTGAGATGTCCTTCATCCGAGAAGTGCATTTACGCATCATGGTTCGCAAGATTTCGACCGGGTAATATATTGTACGCTAGGTGCGCAATTTTTTATAGCAGTTTTATTAAGGGAGGCAGCCTAACATCGACCCCCAAACTTCTCCGCATCCTACATATTCAAGCGGAGTCTGAAGTCTAGCATCCAGGTTCATAAAGGGCTTCTGTCAAGTTAGTTGTTCTCATAATTTGAATTTTTTTTATGACTGTGTCACTTTTTTACTGCCTTGGATGAGAACTAGAGTCAATACAAACGTTAAAATTCATTAGCAATTTAAAGTTTGAAGGATCTCTTGCGTAGTTCACTTACAAAATAAATAGAGGATTTCAAGGCCGAGAGTCAAACCGAGATACACTTTTCGCTAAATTTTAATCTTCTAAGTATAAACATGAAGCCTAAGATTCTTTCGCAGTCGATGTCTACATAGTTTTCTGAGGCCTTAGCCCCCGTCTAACCACTGCCACATCCCAAAGAGCTGCAAATAGTCGATGCTGGCGGATTGTATTTCATTGAAAATAGATGGTAGCAAACATCTTTAGGCGCACGGAAATAGTTTTTATAATAACTAACAGCCAAGTATAGTAGACCCTCATATAGTTCGCATACACGCAGTAAAGCTTGACCTGAAAACCGGAACCTAACAAGCGAAAAGTTTTTACGTAAAAGCCATTAGAAATTGTAGTATACATTGATTCGTATTGAAACAATAACGCATATGTAATCTTGATGGCAGGTTTGTTCATTGCGTAATAACTATTAACATTGTATATCTAGTTTCGAAAAATATACCTGCAGCCCTGCCAGAGCATATGCACCATTGATAAAGCATTAGCACCTATTTTTCTAATAGCTATCTCGATTTGTAATACAAACAACCAATATAATAGCAGAAAACCATACGCATGTAATAAAATCAATACTTACTCCGTACTCGACAACGAGTACGTCGATAATCGACCCGATCACAGTGATCAGATCAAATGTATTCCAGGAATCCTTGAAGAAGTTCTACAAATGAAGAACATTATTTAGTTTAATTAGGAACCTGTTCTGATCGCCGAAAAAAATGTTTTATTCGAAACTAAAAAAAACTAAGCCGAAAATTGATGTGTTTATAAATGTAGCTAGTTGACGCTAAAACTCGAGAGGTTTTGTTCTGATCTTTCATGTGCCTACTAACAGCTGTACATAGTAAAATCGAGAAAAATGTTCTCAATCAACAAAAGACACAATGCAAGATAGTGTTTCGCACAGAAATCATACGATGATCCCGCAGCTTTATTGCAAGAATTTTTCACCATGTCTGACAGCTAGTGGCACCTTCCACTTGATTAAGTGGGCAGTTTAATAGGATCCAGAAGGAAACAGCCTAGGTGATCACGTGTGTGCTAGCTGTAGGTCTAGAAACGATCAGTGCACCTTGGACCTTTAAGACAGAATCGTATGCTGACACTGTTGCTCACCCGGATTCCAAAGGCAACAAGTTTTAGAAGTGACTCAACGGTGAATAGGCCTGTGAATGTTGCGTTGAGATAATGCAGAACTCGCGTGAGTTGTGGTGGTTGATTGTGGAACTGTGAACGGAAACGCATCAACATCAAGCTAAACATCGGCCATGTTCGATAAAGTGGGTAAATTGTCATGCTTGTTACTGTATCTGCATGCTTGGAGATGGGGAATAATACGATAGATAGGTCGAGTCCGGCAGCATAGTGGATGCTTAACACACGTCAATACGTTTTGCGAATCCTACGTCGTAGTTCGTAATGTAACGGTTTCTAGTGCTCTCGAGATACGTAGAGATTCAGCGGTGGCGCCGCATAGAAGATAACATTGAGGTGCTGCATTAGGCATACGGGTAACTGTGGTTTTATCTAATAAAACGCACTACATTCTTGAAAAAAAAACGTATAGATTTTAACAGCAAAAAGGAAATGATCGGATCGATCGGTGACTCATAGCATACGTCATGCATACTTACTTTCATCATAAGTAGAACAGTGTTGAGCACAATCAGTAGTAGGATAAAATATTCAAAAGGCGTTGAAGCGACAACTTTCCAGACTTTGTATTTGAAGGTGGTTTTGTTCTTGGGCATATACCGTTGAAGAGGTTTGGCATGAATCGAAAAATCGATGCACGATTTCTGAAACGAAATACGTAACGTGCATCTTTATTAGACCGGGATAAATAAGCTTCTAAACGTATATGGCAAGTGACAAACGGCAATACCTCTCTTACCAGACCGAAGTAATTTCTCCTGTGTTTCTTTTGGTGATACTATATATACGCCGTTTTTGGACGGAGACAAAAAATAAGGCACAAGTAAAGGCAAGCCGGTATCATTCACAAGTATCCTATTTATACGGCACCATTGAACGAACCTGGTTTTTGTCTATTTCTCCTTCTTCAAGTTCCTTTTCGCCTTGTTCTTGAAATGTGATGATAATCAACGCAACGAATATATTTACAAAAAAGAACGGAAACACGATGAAGAACACGATATAGAATATAGACATCTCAATTCGATATCGAGGCACGGGGCCCTTGTCCTCGTCCGTCGAGTCCATCGAGTTTTGTAGTACCTGAAATGTCAAGTATTTGAGGAGGTGAGACATGTGCATGTCATTAGTTTTTATCATTACTTTGCCATTACTAGTGTTCTATAGGAGGCTGACCTACTCCAATGCTTACTATACTTTACTATCAACGAAAAATAGATTCTTCGTTGGTTTTTTTCTATAATAGCCATCCGGTCACTGGAATAGCGCTCACCTGGGGCCAGCCTTCGCCGGTCTGCACCGTGAACAGGGTCAACATGGCAGCCGATATATCGTCATAATGAAAGTCCTGACGCTTCCACAACCGCTTCATCACCTTGGGCGGCTTTCGAGCATCGCTGAACTCGAAATATTCACCCCTAAAATCACAGGTATCATGATAAAACATCCGAAGTAAACAAACTAAGGCTGCCCAAACTTATTACCATAGTTACTTTAATGAAAGCCATTTTGTCAACGACTCAAACGACGAGATCGAAAATAACTATATATTTCGAAAAAATACCAGATACGAGTGTAATATAATTATAAATAAATAAGTGCATATAATTCTTATTGTGTCTTTCCCACTTACTGGCAGTCTTTCTTGTATAGCATAGTGTGGTCAGAGCAGAAGAAAAATTTGCCATTGAATAGCTGCACGGCGATTACGGCGAAGATGAATTGGAAGAGAATGTACACAATGAGTATATTGAATACGTTTTTTAGTGAAGTCACAACGCAATCGAATACAGCCTTCAGTTTAGGCACTCGTTTAATTGTTTTTAATGGTCGCAAGACTCTCAGGACTCGGAGTGATTTGATCGTACTCAAATTTTGTCCGGTTGAACTCCCGCTGAAAAACAATAAGCAATTAAATGCACACACACGGCGCGGGTATTTTTGTTAAGTTCTTATCAAGACTCTCGCACCAATGCCGCTAGAGGACGCACTGTATGGCTACAGAATTCCACAGGGCAAGCCGATAAGATCAGCGGAAAAAAAGATATGTATCTGTCATTTCTAGCAGTCTAGGGTGTCTGTATATATTGATCATTTATTTGGGAGAGAGACTGTAGCCTAAATTACTCCCCTGCTCGACAATCTATAATTTAGTGAAATCCTTATATATTGTAGAATTGCTAAGTTGAAGCTAAATGTTTTGAGTTCAACGTCTGACACAGTCGTTAGGCGCCCGATTAGACGGCTGGCTCCCAGCACGTAACGCACTGTATACACGCTTGAGTTCGAAGACCACCGCGTAACTTAAGCAGCCCAAACAAACGCGCCCACCCACTGCGCCATCATATTATGAAACTTACGCAAACGCGAATGCAATAAGTGCGCATATGACAACGACGGAGTCTAGGATGTTCCACAGGTCTCGACAATACGAGCCCGGATGCAAGATCACCCCTTGGTCCACGACTTTTAATATCATTTCCACCGTGAATACGCCGGTGAACGCGTAATCGAAATAGTTTAGAATCTTGTTCGAGGCCGATTCTTCCTCGACGGGATCTTCGGCTGCAAGAGCTATTGAGCTCATTGAGATTGTAATCATGATGAACAGATCGAAGTAGGCGAGATTTACCACGAAGTGAGCTGCTCGCCGAACTCTGAAAGTATCGAAACGATCGACGCGAGGCACGCACTGAGTGAATGAATGATGGCCAAGCCATATGGTCTCCAACAGGTCATTATAGAGACCAGGGGTCGCTTCGGGTTTCTCCAACGACAAGCAAAATACAATTTGTACGGAGAAAAAATGTTGTATCATATTGACGTATTGTTAATTCCTAAACAAGTTGATCTGAACATTGCAAGTTAGATTCAGAACATATATTCTTAGGGAATGTATCGAAGTCATTATATCTAGTAATAAGCAAGTTTTATTTTAAGGTATGCTAGCCCGATGACTTAAGGTGCTATCTGCACTCAAGCTATGAAAGGATGTCACCATCACGTACGGATTTGTTGGAGAACAGATAAACATGGACGAATACGGTAGCATTGGTTTTGGGCCTGTTGCCTCCTCATCCTCGTCTCCTCCTTCTGAAATATCAGTTAAAAAAAGACAAAATGGTTCAATTCGAAATAACTAATTATTACGTCTGATCACCAGCGAGCTGATATATGTACAACAAACTAACCTCAAACGTGAAATTTAACCGTAAAGAGAACTCACCAGGATTAGTTTCTTGGTCACTGCGAAGTAAATAAAAAATCAGTATGTTAGATAGCAAAACAACGAATAACTTCATCTCCTTATCCAATCATTGCTGGTCACGTATCGCAGATCAAGCTAATGCGAACAATCAATGAAATCACCTAACCGTATATATATGTCATCGAAATCTACTCTTCTACCCTTTCATACTAGAAGTTACTGTTTAATTGCTACGTACCTGCTTTTACCCTGAGCCGAATTCGAGGCCTGCGATGGGGAGGGGGGACAGATGTTGACCTGAGGCCCGTTCTGCCTCTGAAGGTCGGCCATCTCTTTTTCTAGTTCTTCCTTAGCAAGCTTTTGCTGCTCCATCGCGTCCTCTTCTTCGGCGGCTGTCAACTCCTGGGCGTTGGCCAAATTGTCGACGGCGATGGCCAGAAATACGTTCAGTAGTGTGTAGTTACCGAACATGACCAAAATGATAAAATACAATGAGTAGATCATTCCGCCGTTTATTCCGCCTTGACTCTGGATCCCTCTGTACATCACTTCATTCCAATCTTCACCGGTCAAGATCTGCGAATTGGTGACAGTCAATTTTTACGATTAGATAGAGAGCCGATTCCAACACCTCTGTATGATGCGCATGTCTTCCGCTTTGGGGCTATTCATTCATTTGGTATAATACTATGATTTTCAGTGTGAAAAGCGACGAATACAACCGACATAGAAGAGTGAGAAAACTCAATTTTCTGTGTTCTTCTTTTTCGCGATAGAATCGTGGAACATTCATGTCGATATTACGTTGTAGCTGAGTTGATACTGACTTGAAACACGGTGAGCAAAGCGATCGCGAAGGTATTGAAGTTGGCTGGCGGGGTGCCGTCGGCGAAGTTGAAGACTCCACCGAACAGCTGCATGCCGAGCAAGGCGAAGATCAGTATGAACAAGAACAGCAGAAACAGCAGGGAGATGATGGACCGCATCGAATTCATAAGTGATATGACCAGGTTACGGAGGGAAGACCAGTATTTGGTGAATTTGAATATTCGGAGCAGACGCAGGGCGCGCAGCACAGAGAGACCGAATGATCCTTCTTTGAAGGACGACCAGATCACCTAAATGACAAACGACATGGTGATGAGGACGCTGCGATGATGTCATTGTCGGACAGTGACAATAGTGTACGATAGAGAAGCGACGGCCAACAAGAGAAGGCGACGGATCAAATTTTTATAGAAGGCTATGTGCAATGGTTAGCATGATAAATACAAAGGTTTACACAGATGACGGCGAGGAGAAACAATTTCAAAATAGAATTTCTGTCATAGCAAATCACAGTGAAATTACTAGCGCCATCATTGTCTACACATGTAGATTAGATAATGTTTCTGAGTGGTACGGCATTTGCCGATGATTCAGTATCCCCACATGATTTCGAAAGGGTTTATAGTTGAAGTGTGCTGAAGCCACCACAATCAATCGGCTTTGCTCGATTGTATATGGAGCTCTGCACAAAACAATAGAATTTCTTTTGTAAATTTTCCAGATTTGACTCGGCTCAACCTAACTACCGAAATTTCGATCGTCTTATTGCATTTTATATTAGCGATCAAACATTTTGATCGATTTATTTACCTCAAAAATGCTGCCCGCGATGACCACACAGTCAAATCGGTTGAAGGACGAGGCGAAGTAGATGTGGGGTCCAAGCGCGTATACCTTAATTAACATCTCTGATATAAACAATCCCAGGAAGACATACTCCGCATATTTTAGAAAGGTCTCAAGCCACTCCGGCTGCTTATGGTGTTCTACGGCCACACAGGCGGTGTTCAGAAATACAAGCACGATCACGGTCCAGTAGAAGGGCTGCGTTTTGACAACGCGTCGGATCATGAATCTGATGGCCAATTGATCACAATCACGTATCGCGTGCAAAATAAATAAGAGTAATTACGCAGTGAGACCTACAAGCATTGAACGTTTTCGCAAGAGGCGAACACCATCGAACAACGCGTGAATCCACTTCACAGCTCAGAGGTAAACGCTGATAGATTATAAATTGTCACTAGAGAACTTTTTTTCATAAACTGCACGCTTAATAATACAGTTTATAATGGTAGATAGATAATTACGCTGTACGCGATACCTACCGAAAGCGCTTTTCTGCGCGCCCGAAAGCACCGCGGTTGTTGGAATTTGTTTTTAGGAAGGATCCTTAAAAGAAAGTGGAAAGTTAATTGTTGCTCTGGAATCGGTTCGGTATCGAGCTACCATTCCAGCAATGCAGTACTCTTGGCCTCATCTCAAGGCAATTAGGCCACAACTTTTTCTATGTACAGGCCAGAAAATATCATAACAGATAGCAGCCATCAGATAAGCTATAATTTATCAATTAATATTATCTCATAATGCAGAGACAGGCACGTATAGAGACAATGCAGAAGACCACAAATACGAACTCAAACAGGGTAGGTACAGACATCCTATAACATGCAGTACGATACAAGCATCATATTATACAGAGAGAAATATATTATGAGCAAATTTGAAGCATGGATTTCCACATTTCATGGCGTTAGCATACAAAAGGCAGTATACATTCGAGTACGATGGTACTCCGATCTTCTATTGGATGGTGTTCTGCTAAAACCTCACGATACCTTCGAGCATTCCTCGAGGTCATTATCGGTAACTTCAGCTTTATCGTTCTAACATCATTCACAATTCAATTCAGGTTACTCGCTTTATTTGTTCTTATGATAATTTACTTTACTTTTTCTCTCGCTGTTTTTTTTTTTTTTCATTTTAACAAATCTTATCCAGGGAGCACGCAGCCAACATCGTCATTCAAGTGGCCCGATACAGTTGCAATACAGGATTCAACCGTATTGCATCGTTCCTCTTGCTATGGACTATGGCAACAGTCACATCATCTAACGATTAACAATCAACAGTCATGTGCACAGTCCACAGCGTGGCTTGTAGCTCAGCCGTAGAAGTGGCAGCATCAACCATCATCCCAGTCAGATTCGGTGCAGGGGTGACAAAACTTTCATTTCAGTCACAGTCCCGTCTAATAACAGGGGTAGCGTTTAACAGAAGATGGCTAAAGCAAGAAGATAGTAGGTAAATATATATGTAGATAATTTAACAGCTTTTTGGATTATTGCTAGTACGTATGAATTGTACGTCTGTTCGTCTGACTGTTGTCTGTCTCATTGTTATCGCAAATTTTCTCTCTGTTTAGTACAAGCGATATATATACATATATATATATATATGTGTATATATATATATATATATATGGCCGCCGGCCTCTGTCTTGCGACAGAGTCCAGTTCGGCTTTGTCCCAACCGGGCGCCAGAGGCAAGTCAGTCACCTTTCCTAGACGTTTGGTCTGCATGGCCACCAGCATTTTTTGTTGATCGTGGACGGATCGATGCGCGGGCAGGAAACGTGTGAAGCACGATCGGTGGTGGAAGAGATGGAGCAGAAAGGTGGCCGAAAGCGTACGTCAGAACGGAACATCGTTAACAATCGGCCATCCATCATAGAAGACGAACGAGACGACGTCAGACGAGATCGGACCAGATAATTGTTGGACGCCGATGATGAGATCGAGTGGTCACGTGGTGGTCGAGTCAGCGAACAGAGCCGAAGTACAAGAAGAGTTCAACCAACGCCAAGGCCATGGTTCATCAGCACAATCATTATCGTGATCCTCGATAGTTTAGTTATTAAATGGTTCATTCGTACATTGTGTGTAAATGTCGGGAGAAAATGTTTCAAGTTCTACATCCCGCACCGCCGTCAGGCATCAACTTCAGACCAAGGGGGGTAATATATAACGAACTTTGAATAAGACGATCAGAATTAGTAGCCAGGTGTCCCCAAAAAAAATAAATAAGGCAATGAATAAACACCATGGCCTATTTGGTCACTGTACGGGACTTTGCCAAGAGTAAACGTGTCAAACCAAGCGATCAAATGGTCAGGGTGTAAGGAACTAAGAATCAATTTTAGCGTAGTAGAGGGCCGGTTTTAAAGGTTTCAAATATTTAACGCAGCTAGAATGTTCTGGCTATATTTTCAACAGGTCTTCATGTCTAACGGGATTCGCCTTTACTTTTTTTCTTTTAGATTCTGACTTAAATAGAATTGGTTCTAACTTTAATTGGTCTGAATTAAAGTAGGGCCCTTCTCTATTTTTCAGCGCCTTCATCGATTCTAACTATATGAGCATGTGCTTGGAATAACTTATTCGGTACAACATCGAAGACTTGCTCCCGCTAGAGGGTGTAAACTTGTGCGGGATATGTCCAATAGATAGAGACACCTCTCAAAACTAAAAGCATTTTTCCTTTATTTCAGAGCTTTTCTTTTAAGCTTTGTTGGGTGTAAGAAGATACGAGCGGATACCGACGGTGTCTCCTTTACGTATGTGTTAAATAATGCTCATCTAAATGTCTTTTGCTAAATATGTCAATGTCGACTATTCATGTTGAGCAATACGCTCAGAAGACATGCTGATTTAATGAAGTGATTTAAATATGATTATCTGTTGTATTATTTTCTGTCTTTTATAATTACTCTAGATAAATAACATTGTAAGTTACTATGTAATATTACTATGGCAAATGCTCTCTAGCATGTTGAAAACTGTGTTGAAATGCCGTCACACGTTAGCGATTATGACTACGGATGAGGGGAGCACTCGACGAAGATAAATCAATACGAATATTACTAAAGCTACAAAATAGCATCTGGCACAATTTCTAAGATTGTCAGTATCATTACTGCTTGCTGATTCAGTCATTGAGCTATCTTTGGAGTCGAATGATGATACGCGGTAAAGATGTTAATGGATAGTTTTCAAAGATCTATCAAGGAAATCGAAGCTCAGGCTTGCTTTTTTTAATCCTTCATCAATCGTAGACAGAGCTGGATGGTGATCAGATTGTTCAGGCAGAGTGCATCAGCTCCCTCAACAATACCGGAAGCTGTTCGCGGTAAAATACGATTATTCACAGCCTGTAGTAATGATGCACTGACTCAACAATGGTACGATTATATTTTAGTTATGCTTGATCATTGTCATCATCTAAAGTACATAAACGGTGGAGCAATGCCACTTGCTGCGCAGGGGGGTGCGCGGCTTGGGCAAGCCCACATTCAGTATCTGTCCTAGCAGCAAATTCATCTTGAACACAGAATATCGCGTGGTTTAATTTGAAACTCATAAAAATAAAATGGCATCACGTTACGATACAAGTTCGAATATCAGCAAGTTACGATACTACTGTTCTAAATACTAGATAGAACGCTAGATACAACTTCTCAAATGGTGGCTAGAGAAGGTTCGCTAGGTTAACTTAGTGCAACTCTTACGACGACGCTGATAACTACAAATAAAAATGCACCTGCCATGTAATAGGAGAGTAAGGGCAGGGAATAAAAGGCTTGTCATATGTATAGCACACGATCATCAATTTGGCAGCTACGAGAACATGAAACGAAGGAACGATGAATTAGTGGACGGCGGAGAAGCAAGATCGGATGGAATAGGGAAACGTGGATAGATGGATGGATGGATAGTTGACTATGGAAACGGAACTACTGGCGCACCGCAGATGAAAAGAAGGACCGAAGTTGGGTGCCGTAATAGAAGTTTAGGTGATTATAATGGAAATCCGATTACATCTTCTATAAAGCGTGCGAACAAATGGATACGAACTTCCGAAAGGAAGAGGTGGGTCAGAAGCGCGGGGCTGTAGCGAACGGAACAGTGGAACAGAGGGCTCTGTTTGCAAGGGAAAACGAATCAGGTTGAACTTTGATGGAATACATTTTCACGTAAAGATGCATATATATATATATAGATGCTAAAACATAATGTTGGTGGGTAACAACGGGATGAACATTTATAATTATAGATAACTGTATTCTGTTGGGAAGAAGCAGGAAAACATCAACGGAAAATATGACGAAAAGGAAAATTCAGCGATGGCGTTGACGAGAATCAGAGTAACAACAGTCGTAATAAGTAAGTATAACAAACGATAACAACAACAACAACAACAACAATACGCTGAGACACCAAATTACAATGATACAACGACAATACAGGTAATTGGCAGATAATAGGTAGGCGCACACGTAGTGACCTGCAAGGGACTACTCTGCGTCGCATTAAAATGAGCCTCAGAGAAAAATATAACTGACGGAATAAATTCCCGAGCCATATGCGAAAAATCCGATGTAGGATGATAGCAAGATGGCTGTAAACATGTGTAGGGGGAGGAAACAAAATCTCGCGCAGAAAATTGTAACTAGAACAGGAAAAAACAAAGAGCCAGATTTCGATAACCTTTAGGGACATCTGTTGGTATATACGTAGATTGATCGAATAGAGGCAATTAAATAAACGTATCATTGTCATTACCATTATCACTGGAGCAAACAACAAAGACAAGGCGCAGGGCAGTGCACCTGAACGGGTAACTGTGCCGCGATACTCATGGTAGATTTACTTAGATATCGTTAAGGCCAATAAGAAGTTTGATGGATATAGACGTATAGGAAGAATAACATTACATAAAAAATGACGAAAAGTTTACATCAGACGGGTCAATGACACATCGAAACATTCGTATTGGAGAAACTGAAAAGTAGACATAGGTCACGAGGAAGGCAAACAATTAAGATAATATATTATCCTGCCGTGAGGACGGGAACCAAGTATGACACACTCAATGAATCATAGAATTACGCCGAGCATGGAAAGTGGCGGATTTGTGGGATTATGGCGGTGTGATAACTAAAAGGAGGAAACGAACAGGTGGCCGTACATGCGGGCGAACCCGTTATCTTCTTTTCCATAAGAAAGAAACCACTCCACTACTTCGGATACACGTATGAGTTACTAAATAATAAAGGTTTGGGTAGTGGTAAATGGAGGTAGGATGAGTACGCGAAAACGGAGAAAGAATATGGTCATTTCAATCAGATACCATAGAAGAAAAAGGGCAGAGGAAAGAAGCCGGTGGGATCGATACTATTGTATATAGATACATGAGCCAGTGAGAAATTCGCGGTCTGTTGTTTACCTTCTCCTGTTTCGGATTCTGTGTTGGCCGCAGCGGGTCGAAATCCGAAGGGTGGAGCAGATGAAACACAAGTGAATCAATCAAGTGTGGATAGAAGATTGAAAATTAGTGAGTGCAGTAGCTCGTGCCCAATGGCCTGGCTAAACGGTGACTAGCTAAATATAGGCTGATAGATAAAATCATTGTTGTGCGCCGGCAACAAGAAGAACATAACCTAAGCCGACGTCATCATCGTCCCGCTAGCTTGAATCGATATTTCTATCGGTATATATCGAAATTTCTATCGGATATTGCTATACGGTATATATAATAGTATCTATAGTGGCAGTCAAACGTTCTGTAAAACGTAGTGAAGAAAAATTCCGGTTAGAATATAAAGTAGCATGTTAACAAACCCAGAGAGCGGTGATTTCGGCCTGGCTTTTCCTTGGCCTGCTAGATACGATTTCAACAGACTCTGTTTTATCTCTTTTCGTTTCTGGGTATATACACTACCGGTGCTAAAAACATTATGTTTGTAAGAATCTACTGTGAATATCTAGACAGTAGTTTCACGGCAGTGTTCTTCTATGATGATGATGATGATGATACTGATGGGGCAAGGTACGAACTTCAGAGCTTCACATGATCCTCAGAAATTGAGCCCAAGTGAACGCGTCGTTACGAAGCGTCGACCCATTTATTGTTGTCAGTGCTAGACATTAGTGGATACAATAGTTCAATAAAACGTGAGGAGTGTAAAAGCGGTCGGCTAGTGATTATTATTTGCTCCAGGTTTCTTTCGTAACGGTACACTGATACGTGAACCAGCCCAAATTAGATACTGACTTTTGTATATGTTCGAGCAATAACGGCAGTGTCTGATATTCCGGTCTGATTGTTTTTCAAAAATAGATTGAACGTTTATGTTACACCGCAATTTTCAAGCTATGCATGATTGAGTAAGTGATGGAAACGTTATCCATCGAAAAATAAAAATGTATTACATCGAATAACGACGTCCTGGCTCAACGATGAGTAGAGGAATAGCGATCAAGGAGCTTCGACCTCGGTCGATTACAGTTTGTAAGTGACTGATACAATAATATACTTCTATATTAGTCTTTTATAAATGAGCAACTAAACGTCAGCTATTTTATCGCTGATAACAGCGATTAGAGCCAACTAAGTCTTTTCACTATTGTTAGTTATTTACAATAATAGAATTGATTGAAGATGGATTACCTTCATCTTCAGCGTCTTCCTCGTCTTCTTCCTCTTCTTCCTCATCAGTGGATTTTCCGCGCATATTTTTCATTTTGTCGCGTTTGGCGGCGAACCTGCGCCGGGCTGTGTGCGCCCGAAGAGAGGCATGATCATTTGTTTTAATGCTAACTATATGAAGGCGAACATACACTAACAGGCTACGAGTTTTTAAATAATAGTGTTTTTCAATTGCACTGCGGAGTAGAAATGGGTACGGACAAGAAGGACTTTCGCTAACGTGACGTGGAAGCGTTAGAAGATTTGGATGCTTACCTTCAAGGATGTACAGTCTCTCTTCCTCAGTGGTGCGTTTTTCAGCCAGGATAACTTCCTCTGAAAAAAAGCATCTCCTTTGTGTCAGCCCCTAGGTAATAGTCACGGTGAGACAAGCTTTTCTTATCGGTTAATCTCTTTGTTGTAGATTCACAGACGTCTTTTGTGAGACATTACTTTTAGGTATGGGTTTGCAATGTATCAAGGCAATATAAACTGATAGTCCGTCAATTGTTCGACGAAAATCGAGACGTACCGGCTTTGCATATCCACTCCACATATCCGTCAAGTTCCCTTTCCAGCTGTTGCTGCCTTCGGATGCGGAGGAAAGCTTGACGGTTTTCGACTTTTTCTCTTTCTTTTGCGAATTCTCCACTGAGTACACCGAGAACCAGATTGAGCATGAAAAATGACCCTATTATAATGAGTGGCACGAAGTAGATCCAGTTGAAGGCATTGCCCATTGCATCGTTCGTCCAATACAGCATTTGCGTCCATCCTGCACAACCGCACGGAGTAGTATATTTTATTTATTAGGGTGCTATTGGAAAACTTTCATATTAACTAATATATGTGTTCTGATTAATGTGGTGGCCGAAGTTGGGCTAATGAATGAATTAGTGGATAATTTGTGGACCAAGAACATCCAGGTCGTGTTCAGCAATGAGCTCTGTAAGGCTGTGAACTTATATAAACTGGCCGAATTCATAAAGCATGCTAGTTAGATCATCACATAATGGTTTTGTTTCATCTCTTTTTGAAGATCCTTCGAAGACGTGACAAATACAACTTCAGGACGAGGACGGCTAAGATCATTGAGTTTACTTTAAGATAGTTCAGCTTCATTATGGCAAACAAAATTAAGCGCTTTCGTTCGTAACATTGAGAAAGCATATCGATTTATGTACGCACCTTCCATGGTAATACACTGAAATACAGTCAACATAGCAAAGAATATGTTGTCAAAGGACGTGATTCCGTAGTTAGGACCATTCCAGCCTTCTTTGCAGAACGAACTGCTATTGTCACATTTGAATGCACCATTTGGTACGTTGGAGGCAATTACGTATGAATAACACGGCGTTTCCTGTTCGCCCTCAGGAACGATATCCGCTGCAATTCAACAATACACATATCGACGAAAGTCTGGGAATTATTGTTACGCTGAAATGGACCTGAATTATAGAAAAAAATTATACCAAAAATAGCTCTTTCGTGTACAAAATTGTTGTTTACTTTCATCTTGTAGAGACACACCATTTATATTTTCCATATATATCAACAAGATATTGTTGTTATGCCAGCGAGACCGGTGAGAGATTGATTGACACTTAGAAAAGCAAGCCATTTCGAAATTAACCGAACGAAAAAATGCAGTTGTTCAGCGTTCTATGAGCGATATTCTATTTTGCTTCTATAATGTACGACGTTATCCATTGGTAAGTCACTAGAGATGTAACAAAAATGCTTTTTGATCTTCGGCATACTGGATCTGATTGACGAAACCGATCGGAGAATACATACGGCTCAATAAACTACTCAATAAGGGACCTATGCTGTAGTGATCTAGTCTATCGGTTCTTACTACGCGCAGTGTTGTATCAAGCAGCACCATACAATGCAAATAACGTAATAAATATCAGTAGCCGACGAAACTGTTTGCAGCCACACACTTGTGGCGGGCTTTAGTTCGTGTAGCTACCGAAGGTAAACCGTACCGAAGCGTACCGAAGGCACGCACTGCACGGAAACGAAGCAAGGTCAACGTAGTACGATTTGTTCTGTAATATATATATATATATATATAATACTATGGTATAAAATTACAGCCCAACTCATACAATGAAACATTGTCAATTGCTTGATTCGACGAAGGTAACTCGAACACTTGAAATGTCCGTATCCGAAATACCCAATATCCTAACTAAAAAAATAATTTCCACTTAACTGAGTTACTTGAATGAGGCATGCAAGCGCCACAAGGGCAATTTGAGGCTCACCCAGTATTCAATGAAGGGCGTAACCGGCTCGATAAGGATAATACACTTTGTAAAAATGCACTAACTTCCTTTAGATGGAAAACTAAAGAATAACCATATATTAGATGTGCGGAAAGAGCAAAATCTCACTTGGATCTTCTAAGCTGTAACAACTTTTGTGAAGAATTCCACTGTAGAACTCCAGACCGATGATGGCAAAGATGACAATCGCGAACAATACCAACAAACCGATCTGGAGCAGAGGTGCCATTGCTTTGATGATTGACGACAACACAACTTGTAAACCTGTTGTCAACAGATAGCACAACTGTTAACCAAGACTATATGTGCAACCTTCCCCTATGGACCTGAGTCGAATAGAAATTGGTATCAAATAGGACCATTTTCTCTGCCATTGGAAGCATATGCAAAGTGAAAACGAGAGATTCTTTGATTCAATAAGACAAGTAAAACGTTTTTTGACAAAATCTCAAGCTAGGCTTCATTGAATCCATATAGGCGTTATAGATAGTATATGAAATACTAATGGTCCACTCACTTGGGATACCCGACACCAGTTTCAGGGGCCGAAGAACCCTGATCGCCCGTAATGTTCTTAAATCTAAGTCCATGTTGTCCGGTATAACAATCGTAACAAGCCTAAAACATGGTCAATTACATACAGGTATGTTTATACTTACTACTCTTATACGGTAGATTGAGAAAAAAAATAGAATTATTTGAATCCGAAAATTACGTTGCCAACCTTACGGTATCGTGAACTATGCCAAGGGCATAAACACTTGCAATTTCATATATCAATCAGTAACGGCCTGGAACATACCCTGATGCAACAACAACGAAGTCCATCATATTCCAAACGCTTCTTAGGTACGACCCGCTGTGCAGTATAAGTCCTAACGCTAAAATCTTTAATGATGCTTCAACACAGAAAATTGCTAAAAAGTATGGTTCTGTTTCTTCCTGTAAGAGCAGACGCAAATTAGTTTGTATTTATAATATCTACATTGAAATTCGTTGATTAGTCCATTTTCAAACATAACGCCCTTTGGAACAATGAGCTTCTTACGTTTCCGGGTATTGGCAACCATAAATATGTGACTAGCACTATTGCATAAAGCGGATAAAATCGAAAAATCGTCTGACTAAGGTACAGTATAGTACCTTAAACAGATGTACAAAGATAATATGTGTAACAGACTTATTAAGTAAATGCAACATTGATCGCGCTTACTTAAGTTTTATTTACATGCAAATGTATTGGATAAAATAGGTTTTCGAGACAACAGAGTTAAGCTTGATCTTACTAGTTTCTGAGCAAGTGGCGTTCGGTCTCCCTTAGGCAGATGTTCTTCGAGGGCGAGAACTACACAGTTGGCGATAATGGTGACGAGCACCATAAATTCAAAGGGTGGCCACTCGATGAGAAAGCGTGTACATCTTCGTAACGGGTTGTCTTCTGATAATAAGAAGAGCGCCGTGGGACCTTTCTCCCCGGGCTCACGCGCCGCTCCCTTCTTCTTTTTAGTCATGTCGAACTGGCCTACGCCTGCGAGCGTAACAAACAACAAGCCTTATTCAATATCAACAATAGAAACAGGTGAGTCAGATAAAGGGAGACGAAGGGAGCGCCGAAGAAAATCGTTAAAAGGTTATTTAGCTGAGATCCAATAGCTAAAATATAGCTAGCTTATGCTGTTTGTGCAAGACAGAAGCAACTTAACAGATGAGTTTTGTGTCTTTCCATCTGGATCAAATCCTCTCAGATCGCTTTCGTGATTTCAGATGTGTTAAGTTATTGCTGTTGTTAAAACAAATAGATATTCATGTAAGAATACGAGCTTATGAGCCATTCTAAAGGTTACTCCAAGTATTTTTGGTTTTAGCCTAGTAATAACAATAGCCTAGTAACAACAAGCTCAAAAACAGGCCGAAACATCAGAAATAGCGCGACGTTTCATTGGGTGAAATTCATAATTTTTTAGGTGTCTGGAGATGTTACGTTCTAAGCTTCAAAACGTAATAGGAGGGACTGTTTGAGACAATGTTGTCAATTATTCGTCTTCAGAGAAGTCCGTGTTCAACAAATTCACAGCGCGGCTCGAAATAGAGATCCAAGACCGTCCAGTAGCATTTTTCTCTAATATGGCACGTTGCTATTTTTTGCAACACTGCATGACTTCCCTGCTAGGCCACAATAATCCGTACATCAATAGCAGCTGTACAGGTGACCACGTGATGGTATAAGAGATCGATCCGCGATGTACTTCTGAAATATGATGATATTTTTAACGACTTAATTTCATTACCCTGCGTTGGTAAGCAGGAACGTCGTATGCAGACACGGCTGTGACTAGGTACTATCAAAAAAAGAATCCACATGGCCAGCATTAGAGATCTCATACGAATCTAGTTTACTAAATGTGTCGACCCGAACACGGACGGTCGTGACTAGAGGTTGGATAGACAGAACCTTCCTAATGAAATAAGCAGCTCGAGGGAGTTTGTCGAAGCCACCTTGTATACACAATGCGAGTCGAAGATGCTCCAAGTGCAGCAAATTCTAGCCCGGCTTCACAGGGCAATTACGGATTTGGGACTGACTGTCAACCTAACCTAGGCGATGAGGTTTCGAAGAGGAAGCAGAACAGCGGCCACTGACACCTTGTGCGTCGCTATATCCTCTCTTGCCTATGTTAACCCGTTGCCATACTTAGGGTTGCTTTCTCCGGCCGCAGCTAAAGTTTCAAAGCGCCACTTTGCCTGTCCCTCGCAACCGCTCTCAGCTTATTCTACCTCAAGGTAGCTTCAATTACGACGTATAGGTTCCGCACCACTTAGGAAGAGTCTTCCTGTGGAAAATCTCGAACGATTAAAGCGTATCAAAGCGTCCTCTTTCAAAAAAGCAACGGAACTACACGTAGTGATCCGAAGTTACTTCGAAAATCTTCTAGGCGATTCGCCACTGCTGTCCGAAGGTATACGTCGTCGCTTTGACGTACCTTAAGAACTGGGTTTTAAAGTTCGAGAAGATTGTTGCGAGTACAATTAGAGACAACGAGTGGAAGGTCTCGAAACGGCTAAATAGACACGTCATTATTGGCCTTGCCGTACATGGGTTCCATTATAAACTCTGCAGAAAACTATATTTCTATAAGCCTAACGGAACCTATATAGATTCCCCAGATGCGAGGGAAAATGTGATAGATATTATGTTGCTTGTTGCTTTTTGGCGATATCTGGTAATTTTTTAAGCTGACAAAAGGCTTTAAAGGTTTCTCTACACTAACTCTGATGTCGGGATATTTGATCTATATGCATAAGACTATTGACTACTACAATTGGCAAAGGTGAATAAATGAAATTCGATAAATTATCTCTCCAGTTGCTAAATCATATTCATTGTTAAAATGAGCAATAAAAGGTTTATTTGTTAAATACGCATGTGTTTTCAACAAAAAATAGCAAGCGAACATCGCAAGAGGGATCTGTGACTAACCGTAAAGAGGACGGGGAAATATCGGGCAAAGAATGTTATTACTTACCCACTGCCCCAGGGCTCTGAAGAGGCGAATCTGATGGCCTCGCACCGTAGCGGCTTCCTGGGCCGCCTCCGGAGGCCTCAGCCGAAAGAGCGGATAAACTTGAAACGATTAGTAAACAATAAAACCGAAAGTTAGAGCCAATGAGCTCCATTAATAAAACAACATATCGTCAACCCGCTTTTTCTACACATATCAACGCTAACTTAGCCACGGCCAGATCCACACCAATACCAGCAGCTACGATCGATAGGTTCAGTCGTTGTCCTACTAGATATTAAGTTCCATGATTCCGTTTAAACTGAAATGTTAATACGCCAGCAAAAAAGTTTAAAAGGTTCTACACTGCGTACCCACTACTTTGTGTAATAGTCCAAGACTCAGAGCACGAGGAACTCAATTTTCTATTAAAAAAAAACAATGTTACGAATAGGTATTACTAAAAAAAGTATAGAAAAAAACGTATTTTTTTTTTTACGTTTTCAATCGAATTGTCTGTTTCTACTTAACTATACCAAAACAGACGATCAATAAAATGGAGAATTTCCATAGCATCCGTTTAAATGGTGGCCTACCTATCCAGCCTGAAGACACGGATTGCATACGTTTCAAAACAAGCATATTCACACCAATCGGCACAAAAGTTGTCGCGTAAAGTCAAATTTCCTGTTCTCATCTCTACGATTCTCTTCGCATAATACATTGAGACCACGGTCGCTTCTAAATTAACGTTATACATTGTACCTGTGCCTAGACGGCCGTTAAAATGCTTTCCTCTACTATCCTTTTTCATACTATTGTATCTGGGCACATCGATATATCTGTTAAACAATTTCACGCTGTCATCCTTTCATGTTCGTTCGATTGCTCAAAGGAGAAGCCCGAGCCTATTCAGTATCTTTTTTCTCATCAACAGGCCATCAACTAAGCGCTAGAGTGCCGCCTATGGTGTGTTGTTTTCTCCAGCCTTTGTATCACCGGCTTTTTTTTTGCCTTGTTCTCGCCGTTGTTCACACATGTTCGTTATTCCATTCCTGCGCTGCGATCCAAGCAGAGTACAGCTCATCTTCAGTTCAACCAAAAGCCCCATCCTTCAAAGTCTCGTCGAGTAGCCCAGAGAGACATATCTCGCTGCAGTTTGAATTATGACTCCATTAATCTGTGCTGAGTAGATTCACTTTACGCGATCCACGGTCATCACGGATATTCAATCCACGCCGACGAGCTCGGTCACGCCATTGCCATCCTAGAAACCCTTTCTGTCGAGCCCTAAGGATCCCTGCTATTGTTCTCGCGTACTCACATTTCATAACTCGCCGACTTTTACGCGGTCCGATATTTACAGATAAGTATAGGATAATATGGATGTTATAAGCTAAAAATTAAGCATCTAGTTCAGAGCAAACATGCTTTCTCTTACATCCCTAAAAAGGTGTACGCTAAAAACTCCGATACCCTGCATAGAATTCTCTCAGAATTTTCTCTGAGAAGAACCTTCCTGGTTGTGCGGGCTGATCCTTCTATTATTTATTGTCCACCGTTCATAACGCAAAGTTCGTTCAGCTGTCGCCGTTAAGTAAACAACATTGTTCCGTTAGTTTTGTCTCTCTGCTGATCTTCATAGTTATCCAACGGGTCATCCATTAGCTTTAATTAGACTTCAGTAGCCGATTTATAAAATCAGGTACAGTATATTTGTCGTCTGTATTCTGCTCTGCGCACTTCGGCATTTGTCTTGATGCATGCTGACCGTGACGGAGCCAAACATGTGACGACTGCAGAGGGACTGGTCGCTTATAGACCAAGGGCCTAAAGTATTAGGTTCCCGAAAAGCCAGCGACATACTTCATGAGACAGATGTTTGTGCTGCCGCTTACAGTGCTTGACCAGATATGGCCAAATAACCCAACTTATCATACACCATCAGGGTGAGTTGGACAAGTGTGATTCTTTATGAACTGCAAATCTGAGATAGTTCTTATCGCCGCTAATCCCAGTCAGTGCTAACCTTGACACTTTTCTTGATACCACAATTTTCTCCAGTCTGTGCTCTCTGGGTCTCTTCCTTCCTCCGTCTGAACAAACTCATCCACAACGTACAAACATATTACCTGCGCAGTACGTGTGTTTCTTTACAGTACTGACAGTGCTGCCTCTAAACAGCAATGGGTTTGTTTGGATCTGAGCGAGTCCATTAACCCACTTTTCCGTGCTCGCTCCCGTTTAGCGATCGTATGCCGTTTCCCCTTGGCTAGTTCATGACGGCCGTCCCATCGTATTGCGGCTATAGTGGCTGCAGTTTTGTAAAGGATACCGGTGGCGCGCGTCATAGCATGTAGGCAAGCAGCCAGTTAGCGAGTGTAAAAGGGACATAAACGAGGGAGTCCTCTCCCGCCACCCTGAGTACAGGAGAAGGTAACCGCCGCTGTCGTACAACTGCACTGGCCGGCTAACTGTCACCCTGCTACTGCCATTTTGAACCGCCATCACAGCCTCCATCGCTATGAAGCGGGTAAGGCACTTTCTTTGACTTCATCGCCGGGCTTCAGCTAATCATCTCCTAGAACATAGCCTTTGGCGTAAGCGGTGGTCCACATGCCGTTGCCACAGCAATTGAAGAAGTAGTTGCCGAACGACTTACTTTAAAGTCGAAGCTGCGTTAGGCAAGTGTGACGATGAAGGGCACGCAGATCAGCCAGCGATGAAAATAAGCGGTTAAATCGACTTCCAAAGTAGAAACTGAAAAGCGAATGACACAAATCAGGCTGCTGATTGAGGTTATTTCGGCTTTGTAAGACTTCATGGCACAAAATGTTCAGTTTCGATTTTTCTGTGCAACAATGTGCCCAAAAACATGTTCAAATCGGGGACCAGAACAAAACTACAACCAACGGAATTTGTAGACCACGTGGAACTTCACATCACGGCTATCAACAAATCACTGCCAGCAGCACACAGATGCTAATGAGGGCGCACCGGCTGCGTGCGATGGCGATAGCTGTGGCGGGACAATGGTGATGTTTGTCATGACGTACTTCGCTGTTTCAAGTGGAGTCTCCTGCCATGGTATCGTTCCAGCTAGTACGGCAGCCGAAGGGGAAACCTATTTTAGAAGTGGAACGGGGTTATTCGTAATCGAGAAAAAGAGACGTTGCCAGTCAGTGCAGAAACCGGTTCGTTTCCTTCTCGATAACGGCAGATGAACAAAACAAGCGGACGTTCGGTAGGACGCCCGCCAAAGAGAAAAGGAACTATATTAGCCACACGGTCGGTTAGACGGGACGGGAGTACGAGATTGAACGAACGAAATGCAGAGGGTGTGTGAAAAGCTGCGGAAAGCATCGTTTTCTCACCGAACAGTTGACTGAACGAAAACGTTTGGACATTGGACGATCTAATACGATGAATGAAGAGGCCTAGCCACCACCGCCGGGGCAGCCGCCGCCGCAATGGCTATATTGCGCCGTTGCTACAAGCCTATAACAAAGAATAAAATGAGGCGCGCAGGCCCTACAAAGGACAAAGGAGTAAAATGGATGCTATCCTTCAAGATCTCTTCGTTCTGCTGCGTGCGCTGTGCCCGTCAAAACAGGCGATACGCCGAACGGCGGGCCAATCGACCAGTGGGAGTGTACCGCCAACCCGGAGCCAGCCGAACCCGATGCGAAGTCTGTCACCATCGTTCCCGCCGGTAGAAGAAAATTACTTCAGGAGGTTTGAGCCGCGAGCCACTAAATGAACGGTTCAGCCTGGCCTTGTGCGCTCTACACGACTCTCATTGTGAAGTGGTGACTGTCTCAATCCGCAGCTACTAATCAGCCCGTTAGTCAACCCACGGGCAGCCTCAGAGTCAAATTTGATCCACCCTGATTGCCTGCGCACGACCTCGTCATTCTTAGGACATTTTTGCTCATCCTGTACCTTTTCTTTTTCTGGCAAGTTTGCAAAGGGGTTGTCGACAGCGAAGTGGGTACTACGATCGATAATCAGAAAATGGACAGCAACAGACTTGTGTAGCAGCTGTTTTCAAGTAGAAAAATCCTACACAAAATTTTTCTTTTCCAAAATTGGAACTGATCTACTGCGCCCGCTGCAGCTAATTCATTGATGATCTGCGAACGATCCAGTCTAACTATCCTAGGTGACAGACTTCAGGTGAATCTAAACTATAAACTAATCATATAAGAGACAATGCGGCCATGTGGGTCCAAATTTGTTTAGTGTTCTCTCTTAAAACAACCGGTACGAGTAAAAGAGAAAATATATAAGAGTATATTTCTCAACGGCTCTTCTATTATATATCCGAATGTAATAGTCGCAATTAATTGAAAAAAAGGGTACCTATATCGTTGATCCCGTGAGCTAGAGGTGGAACTTAGGTATCGGCGAATTGCCGTTTGCTTCTAAAGAGAGAAAGGAAGATAGAGGGATCACTGTGCGTACCATTCTCTAAAGGCAACTTAACTAGAACGAAATCTGTGTAACTATTATGATTACGCACGATTTTGACGTAGATAATTATTCATAATCAATTCCGATGTATGACAACGATTATCCGCAATATGGCCATCGTCGAAATTTTTTGTTGATAACAACGATATGCGATACGAAACTACAATGCTTCTTTTTAACTTGACAGATGTACACATGTATGCGTGCCTACTAAGTTGAATTGTATTCTAAGGTAAGCTAGGTTTTTCAATATCCCATATAGAAATGGCATCGACGGCGTCCGCTTTCATACGTGCTAAACATATAGTGTCCTGTGTGGCCCGTATGGGTCTAAAGCGATCATCTAACATGACTCAGTATAATAACTCTAATAGTATGTAACTTGCTATCAGTTCCTTTGAAAAAGTAGCCTGGAGATAGGTGGAACTGGAGTTGGTTATCTTGTTTCCTTGTCGTTCCATAGAAACTCGACGATACGCGAATAAAACATTTGGCTATTTTATATAGCTTACCTTTATGCTATTTGGTCGGAAACAGAGACGGTGATTGTAATGCACTACATTTCGCACACCCTAGTGAGCTGAACCCACTTCAGTTCGCGGATCAATGATCTCCAAATGACGGGTGCACAAGTGGTACATTTAATTCGTTAGATGTTATCAAACGATGCCCGTTGGCATCGAAATCATTCATTCAATTGATCGTCAGACGACTGACTGCCTGTATCCTTTAGCTGACTCAGCCCCTACCCAAATTTGTGCGGGAACCATTACAGTAGAGTCAACGCTCTCACATTGTCGCTTGACCTTGAGACGCATCGAGCCTTTCTACATTTAAGTTCTCTAAAGCCTTAATCGTTCCAAATACAGTACCGCACTAAAAAAAACAACAACACTTGAAATAAAACAGGATAATAACAATGCTACTACTCTAGCACGTATACAATGGTAGACGAAGTAAACGAACAACCAACATGGAACATTTGCGGGGACAAAGAAAGTGGCCACCGAGAGGTAAAGGAACAGCGACAAATCACTTTCGAATGGAACTTCCGAGAAGATGTAGGTCAGTAGTATCACTGACACAGAGGCAGCTAAACCTAAACGCTCCGAAACGGTTTTTCAAGGCTTCAAGAAGGGCGTCCAAGAACACTGGGTTGGCCTTAGTTGCACTGAAACCGCGGCTGAAAAAAAGGAGAACCGAGGAACTTAGCGGCAACTGAGCGGCACCTTTTTTACTTATTCCCCTGCTCCCCGAAAGGTCGGATCCCAAATTATCCCCTCGTTATTACAAACTGGTTGTAGCACAGTGCCACTGCTATTGGCAACTTTGCCGGCAGATACTACAACAGGCATTTCAACTAGCCTCACCCGTTGTCATCATCCTGTGAACCAATGCAAATCACGCTTGACCGGTGCCTTCTTCAGGACCACCCAGTCGATTCTAGAAATCCCTCCGCCGTCAGACTCACCCACAAAGATCCTTTTGATTGCTTTGCGTAACTAGAAAAGAGGCAACGTAGCTGTCGGTTGGCCAAGAAATGAATGAATCGTGTGCTCTCAATCCTTTCCCCCGTTATAGGAGTAGTAGTAGTAGTAATAGAGTTCTAGCTGTGAATAGCAGTATTATATGTTTGCACGACAGCGATGTCTATGCCATGCGCGCTGTTCGTTCAGCCGCAATGTAGTCGAGCGCCGTCTGATTAAGCACATCGCCAACAGCAGCAGCAGCAGCAGCTGCAAATGTTGTTATTCGGCACCTTCACTTTTCTCGGGATTCCTACATCGTCTGCCAAAAGGCGCCTACTCACTGGGGCCGTGAACCGTTACGTTTACCCTTTGCTAAACCTGTCTGTCTCTCTCACTTGTGCCCCCGACTTCAGCAAGTGTACCTCTAGCCCTTCCGTCAGCAGCAGCATTACCGCCTCTTCTCAGTCCCGCCAATGATTTTCCTGTTTCTGGCATTCTCAATCTCGTTCCTTGCTCCAACTACGCCGGATCCGACCAAATGGTGGTATAGAGCCATACTGCGGGGGATAGGGACAGGCCCAACAGATCCGCGCAGGCAAACCCGTCCTACTGGCCTGATCGCGCAGCCGTACAGTCAGAATGGCAACCGGAGATCATCTAACCGCACCCAATCACCCTCTCAATAATACAACATAGCCGAGGTGTACCAGCATAGCAAGTCCCACAAATATCCATCACCTTCGCTTCTATCGCTTGCTACTAATATCATCACCGCGATCCCTTAGACCGTCAACGCCCGTCTGCACACGAGCGAGGCACTCTGCCGCCGCCGCCTTACAGCTCTCTGTGTGAAGCACGGCAACCCATTCCCTATACGCTGCAGCAGGCCACACTTCCAATAGTTGTGGCATAGCGGCGGGTATGCGAGGCCACTCCATGCGTGGCCTCGTGCATCGATACACACTTACCACCAGCTTCTCTATCTCATTCGCCTTCTCTATACACACACACATTTATATATATATATATATGTGTGTGTAGAAGTAACTATGAAGCCGTCGGCACGAAATAACTTTAGGCCCATCGGTAGTACCCTACGCTCGCTTCGTATCAAGCCAACCCAGCCAGGCCATAATAGGGGCAGAGAGTGGGCAGCCCTCCTCTTTCTTTTCCTATCGTGTCACTAACTGTCGCTGGTTCGACATAGCCTCTCATTTCTTTTTTACGTGAGGTGGCCTATGTTATTCAGCGCGTCTCAGATTTCTCTCTTCTCTGCAAGATGTCTACTGTTGGGGGGGGGGGGGGGGGTATTGCGAGCTGTTAGTTCACACACAGGATTTTTTTACTCACTCGTTTTTGCGTCGACCTCAGTCTCAGTTGATGTTCGAAGCACGTTGGCGCTCGTCGCTTAACCTCGGTTCTTGGAGGCTCACAAATCACCTCGGGCGATCTGGCAGAAGGTGATGGTAATAGGGAGAACCTAGCTTTTGGGAGACAATCTGTGCGGCCAATGCAACAGAGTTGTTGGTAGGTCCTGCCTGGGCCAACGATTGCGATCGTTGCTGGCTCGAGAAGACGTTTTAGCTCTAATCGATACTAACAGTACATATCGGCTCATGACGCTTTTTCCTCGTGTGCCCTTGTTTCTTTTTCGTCCTAATTTCCGTGTCGTGTGCTTTCCTCTTTTGCAAAATGAATCTAGTGCTAGCTGATTTGTACTGCCATACTGTGTGGTTCCGGCTGCAACCTGCTTGAGGAGACGGTCTGCGACAATAGCATTGTCTTCGCTAGATGGTTTTTCCGGTTCTTCTCTTTGTATCCCCTTTCGTTTGCTTCGTATGGTCTATCGTTCTGTTCCGGACTCTCCTGTTTGTTAGGTTTATTAGCTCGTAGCGTGGTGTTGTTCCTTTCCTGCTTTCGGAGCGCGCTTTATGTCTATGCAGCGTGCTCAATTGAGTTTAGTTGTTTTATTGGTAGAGGATCGTTTTCATTTACAGCTTTCCAGCTCGCTATCTCATCTTTTTTGCCCGCTTGTCTGCTCTCCTCCTTCTCTAAGTTGTTCTTTATTGAGAGTCGTTGCGTCCTCCTAGATTCGTCGTCCGCAGCTAGAGACTCCGCCTCAGTTATTTTGTATCATTTGGCTACCACGTTTATGGCAGATTTCCTCTGTTTTTTGTCCTTCTATTCTGTTACTGCTTTTGTGTTTAGCACAAGTCCACTATAGTAACGGTGGACGCATATAGCCGTTTGTGTGTGTGTTTATGTATGGATGGGTGCGTATGTGTGTGTCTGCTGTGCGTTGACTCTCCTTCTCGCCTTGTCTATTTATTTTTCTTTGTTTGGAAACGATACGGCCAGCGTCAGCAACGCCAAAGTCGACGGACGCCGTTGCTACACTGGCTGCGCCTGCTTCCGCTGCCGACTTTTTGTATGTGCAGTTGCACCAACCGCTTCAGCAGTTCGGTGTCTGCTTGCCTTGCGGAGCCATCATCTTGCGGCGTTATGCTGTCTTCCTTTAGATCGTCTCTTCGATTCGTATCGTATCCGTCTTTTTCTAGTAATAATAGTAACAGTAGTAACACGCTTCTAGGACGAACTGGCCTCGTCATTTCGTTGAATTGCGCGTTTTCTCTATATGAAAGCGCTTCCTAGCCGGTCGGGCAGCTCCACGCCGATCAGCCGTTGGTTAGCGATTGGTTGATCGGCATAAGATGTCGCGATATATATTAAAGTTTCGCTTCCTCTGAATCGTAGAACGCTACGACCCCTTTGATGTTTGCCTCTTCGATTTGCTTTAAGTTCTCCTCCGCTCTTCTATTAGTAACTAACTCCAACGTCTGCTGTACGACCAAACGATTCTTCCTAATAGAAGGATCTGACTAATTGTCGAATTGGACTAGTAGCAGCTTTACTTTACTGTAGTGGTATTTATGGGTGACAATAAAAAGACAATTAGTGTCGACCATATGTTCCAGGGAAATCGCCTTTCACTCTACGGTTATTTTTACCAGTAGTTCGTATGCTGATGTCCATGAGCAGAGAGAGAGATGACCAAGTATATCAGCATCTGAACCAGCTGAGGCACCACCAATCGGAGTCGAAGCCTGATGATACGATACAGTTTTGTTATTGTTATTCTTTATTTATTATTTGTAGTAGTAACAATACTAGTGGTAGCCGTAGAGCTGGTGGATAGCAATAATTAGCAATATTAGTGAGAGGGAGTGCTAATTCTGGTTGCTTGATTCGATCAATAGATAAATTAATCAAATGGTCGCGATGGAAGCAGATGCAGACGCGCACAATTCACAAAAAATCAAATTCGAAATAATCCTGATTCGGGGCCCTCCGTCACAACTAAGTCATTTACCCTTCCACACAAATATTTCACGTGCGCAATAAACGAGCGGCACAAGAATGGTGATAATTATAATAATGATGATATTGGTAATAACGCTAATTGGAAATCACAGATTATCAACCACCGACAGGCCGAGCGTAGCTCGAAAATTGTCAACGCGCGGTGATTTCTGGTGCCGATGCTGCTGCTGTTATTGCTAAAACACTGATGCGGGTCTATTTACGTGGGTAGCCTCAAAAAGGGCCACGTTCTCGATGCCGAAATCGAGAAGAACTGGCATGGTCCGGAACTGTCTGTCGGAAGATATCAGGGTCAATTAATACCTCGCCGACTGTTAATGGCTGTTTCTGGATCGTTGAATGGATAGTTGGTGGTTATTGAAGATAACCACCAGGACATGAAGCAAGAGAGTTTTCGTCGAGCTGATGATCTTCTTTTATGTCTGACGGGCTTCACCCTCTCTGCTTGTCCCTGCTGGCCTTTTAGAAAAGCGCGTTAGCCTTATTTAGCCGGTCACCAAATAGTTCGGCAGGGCAAACCTATTCCAGAGGCATTCGATCTTTTTGAGAGTTTAAATATGTGTGTATGTTTATGTGTGTATGCATACAAAAGATGCTTTCTTTTCGTTTGTCTAAGCGTTTGTGTTTATGTGGCCGTCTGCGTCGTCCGCAGACGGTGGGGTCCTACGCCACCATTAGAAGGTCCTCCACTTAATGGTCATACGGGGTCTATCGACTGATAGAACCGATACACTATTTTGCCAGTAAACTTGCATCTGATTTGATCTGCAGTAACAGCATCATTATAATTCTATTTCAGATATATGCATCCGTCTTCCAGAAATGATGGCGGCTTGAGCTGTTTTCGTTAGGAGGCTACATGCGTCTCTCGTTGTGCTGGCTTTTCTATTTTCCACTTAATATACTAGTAATCACGCTACGGTTCAATTGAACATTTCCTATTTGAATTCTGTTTTTTCTGTTCGGTTTTTTTTTGCCTGACACCGCATCACTAAAGGGGCTGGTATAGAGACTGTGTTGATTTTCGATGTATGGTAGAGTGTCATGTGTTACTCTGTTTGTTTGAAGTCATTGGCTCACGTTCCGCTGCCGCAAATGAGGCGGCTCCGAGAGACGAGGCCGCGGCTGCTCCCCTGAACCAGCTACGCTATTCCCCTCGATCGTTCATTTGGCCGCAAGCCTATCGTTGCTTTGTCTCGCTGTATACAAAAGGTATACAGAGACGGTTGGACTGACTGACTTCTCACTGATTCACTGATTGATTGACTGAAATAGAGGCTAACGTTGTGATGCAGGACTGCGCAAGGAGCACCCCCCAACGATCCACGCCTTGGTGTGGTTTAAACGGATCGCTTGCTGCCCTATAGAATTCGCCATAGTCGTTGGACTAAGCTGGACCCAACAGACCACAACACAGACATGCGCGATTGTTCGCACAATGATCAATATATATGCTCTCTCTACTCATTACGCTGTGGCCGTCGGAGTGAAGCTCGCCTAAGATATGCGTTGTGCGTCGTCGCCGAAGTAGCAGTAGTAGAAGTAAGTACGCACTCCGGTTAGATGTGGTGGAAATTGTCATCAGTCACTTGTTGTACTACAATATTATTTCCTATAATACCAAAAGGCATAGTGTAAAGAGCAGGATCGAGCCTTTTTGCTCCCTGTTGCGAGAGGGATGATCTGTTAGAGCCGAGATAGCTAGGCAAGCTCAGGTTCCATCCAGCTTCATGCTGCTCGTCCGATGATCAACACGACTCAAGCGAACGATCTGGAAAAGACGTCCTGGAAGAGATGATGCGATTGTTGTATGTGTTTGTATGAGCATGTTTTGATGGCGATGATGATAATGATGGAGAAATGTTGAGCAGCGCTGCCGGATAGCGATCCGTAAAGCAAGCAGTAGGCGGGCGCTTTACGGCTCCAACCCTTCAACCCGGGCCCATGGACGGCGTTCAGCTTATCGCGCACAAGACGAGGCAAATAGGGGCAGCACAGTGCGCCATTGTCGTTCTGCTACCGTAACTACGCTTGCCGTTTCTTCTTCGTCTTCGATTGATACGGCCACCTCTGCTGCTACTAGTAATTCTCGTGGTGTTAGGGTCATCGGGGGTCACATATACCCACTGCAGAGGATCGCCAAGGGGTCTCCGCGCAGCCCGAGCCTCGTACACTCTTTCACGAGTTTGCGAACTCGCGTCCAAACGCGTGATGTAGCAGTGTTACGTTTGTTGCCGTCGCTTTGCCGATGCCCGTCACGGCCGCTACAACGGCTGCGACAACGGCGTTGGTCCTCTTCGCGCGTCCGTCGTCACTTCGACAATACACACAGACACACTTAGAACAATAACTTGGAGTGCAGTAGTCACAGCACCCCTCTGCACAACTATTACCACTCTGTGGTCGCTGGTTTCGTTGACACGGGGCAGCAGGCGCTCCTCCGTCCGCCCGCTGTGGCGCTCCTCGCTGCTGCTTGCTCTGCCGCAATAGCAGCCCACTCCAGTAGCAGCCTGCTTCACCGCTTCTTCACGGCTTCGTCCTATGCGGCAATGCCAGCCAGCCACGGCCACAGCGGCCAACGACCACGGCCACGGACTCAGCCCTATGCTGTCCTGTCTGCCTAGCCCAGCCAAAGAGGCAGTGAGCCAACATTCAGAGCGCTGCGAGCACAGCCAGCAGCTAGCTAACGGCGGCAGCAGCAGCAGCATCACCAGCACCACCACCACCATTACAAATATAGGCAGAGGGCTATACACAACGTAGCGTTCTGCTCGGGAGGGCCCAGGGAAGCTCCGCCAGAGAGGCGCCACGTGCCCGCTGGGGGGCGCCCCTCTCCGGACCTGCTTTTATTCGAGTTCGTCCGACGTGCACCAGACGGCGCTGCTTTCACTTGCCGTCGTCTTTGTCCGCCGTCTGCCAGTTCGACCGAGGCACGGGCCGTCGCTCGGTGGGCCCGCCATTCCATCGTTCGTGGAGCAGCACGGCAAACCAGCACTCTGCCTGCTGATTGACTACATGAAGCGCTAAGTCAAGGCGAAGCGAACTCCGTGACCCCTACATCCCTGTACGTACGGGGTCCTCCTCTTGGGGCTTCAAATAGCTTTCTCGGCTTACGGCACATCCCTTTTGGCTCCACTGTGCCCCAATTCAAAGAGACAGGGGAAAGGGTCGGAAAAAGGGATAACAGAACTGAGTGCTCTACAAGCCTTGGGGGTTGCCCGGGGGGGGGGGGGGGGGGGAGCAGCCGGCAGGCAAGCAAGTCTGCTGCGTGATGTGCTGTTTAGGCTGATAAAAAGAGAGAGGGGCTAGAGAGAGATACAAAATAGGAAAAATTGATAGTGTGTGTGAGAGAATGGGGGAAGGGAACGCGTTTGCTCGATGGATGGTGCACTGGGTAAATGGGGCCGGGCTAATTCGAGTTCGTCTGCTCACCCAAACCAGATTTTCAGGTGTTATAGGAGTTCCCCTACAACACCTGAAAGCGCGCCGCATATTATAGTGGCGTCAGCAAGCACTCGCCGTTGGTAGTTTGCAACTGTAGCAGTTCGCTAGCTAGTTGGCTAAATAACGGCCGGCCTGACCCGCACGTGCGTTGTGTACTATCGGCGGCAAGAGGTCCTTGGCGGTTCGCTCACTGTTATCACGATTGGACACCGACAACTTACCGCCACTTCGACCTTGTTCAGTGCGTCTGAACCGTGAGGCCACGGCCAAAGAGCTAAGCAGCCAGGCGCGCAGCAGGCGCCCAGCCACAGGCAGGCAGCGATAGGCTAGCGCCCACCAGTCAGTTAGAGCCTGCACGAACGGTCGTTTGGTAGCAGTCTTATTCTAATTGCTACTAGTATTGTCATTGGTGTCTTTTACCTCCGTAGGTTATTCAAAAGCTTCAACCAAACCGACCCTAACACACGAACGAATTTCGCTTGATATCGTGGATCCAGAACTGCGCAAAAATGAAAGATGAACGATTCCGAGCCTTGCGCAGATTTTGACCGTCGTACTGTTCATCGGTGTGCAGTTTTACTACAATATGATAGAAATAAAGGAATGACACTGGGGACACCCTACGGAACATGGCACGTAGTAAATACTCCCTTAATACATTCGCGCGGATTTGCAGTATGTAGGCTGACTGATTGGAAAATGTCGATTAAGCGCATAATGACTGTTACCCATAAACCACGAGAAGTGAGGAACTGCGGTCTGAAGAAAACAGATCAACTGTGTATTTTCATATGCATTAGTTCCGCCTATCTTATCGTCGGGTTACACTTTCTGTTGGAAACAGTCAGTTTGATCTGTAGAAGGTGTACTAGCAGCTAAATAGAGCTTAGGTAACCTTTACAATATGAAAAAAATTAATGATTTAGTAGTACTCGTCTCAGATCAGATTGAGACTCAGCCTTTCGACAACCCCAATAACACACCGATCTGAAAATGATGTTGTACCTTCGAATCGTTAGACGAACACTCAGATTCTCTAAACGAATAAGACTTCCAGTGTTACCTCAGATGTATTAATAAAGCTCTGTTTCAAAGACGGTTGAAAATTCTATAATTTGAAAAAAAATTGTAGAATTCTCTTACAAACGAAAGTTCCGGTTGTTTATATAACAATCTGTTATGCTAGGGAATTAAAAACAGAGATCATCCATTTTAAGTGTCACTCCAATGGCCCAGTTTTTCAGTTAGCTAATATTATAGGTTGTATGGCGGGCGTAGCGTTCCCTATCTTTTATCCTAGCGTAGTCTTGCCGTTCGTAGCCGCCTTCCTGACTGTTGTCATCGTTCAAACGCAAGCAAGTGTTTCAAACTGACAACCTCTTAAGCGGTTGACGAGTTTTAGAAAATGGATATAAGAAAAAGCTAACTTCTACAAGTTCGCTTCTTTAAAAATTTCGACCTATTACCTCGTTGGGGGCAAACGCATTGACAAATTAATATGTAAACTAATAAATAAATTTGAGGTAACTGCGCATTAAATGACACTTCATAATAGTGCAAAAAAACCGTTTGTTCCAAAGTTCCTTCATAAACGATTTCTGATGCTCACACAGAGCATGCGATGACAAATGCTCTCACGAATTACTGGGAACTGCTGATAGCACAGAATAGGTACTTCCAGTTAGCGTCGCGCAGAAGCGTTCTCCAGGGAGTTGCAGCAGGGATCAAAGCTAGGCATGTGCATACTCTGCTAAGCGTTATGCTGTCAACGGTTTAGGCATTATAAAGACCAATAGTTCGCATCAAACGACCGGTCGGTCACAACAGCGGTACGGAAGCTTATTTGTGTTTTATAATATATAATCCTATAATCAAATTATGAGCATATTGGGATGATATGGTGAGCTGAACCCTTGGGAGCTATAAACGCAGGGGTTCCACAAAATGCTATATTAAGCCTCAATTTTAAGCCTGAATGCTATGCCACATCTGGGTAACATTCATTTTAAATGAAATATGCCTTGCTTGTCCGAGTCTAAAAGGACCACTAAGTATGTGTGTATATATCGGGTGCGATACAATCGAAAATGAGCCTGCTTCTTTGACGAGCCACATTTCGGACGCATAACAATGCGATTTATTTTGCTTAAAAACTGATAACAACAGCAAAATTTCGAGATTTGATAGACGATACGATTCTTTGGATACCCATATATTTTTGCCAAAGCCAACGCATTGGAGATAATATAATTTAGGAGCTTCACCAACACTATGAATGACATTGTTTATTATTTAGAAGAACAGCTAATTTGTCTTCTGTTCTAATACAATACATAAAGCACAAAGCTCAGACTGTACTTTTTTATGATTATAAAATCATTTTGACAGATGGCAGCCAAGAACAGCGAATGTCTATCTACTGTCGCTCCATATGGAAACAATAAGCTAGCTGAAATCCGCATTAGCAGTACGAAGCATAGTTGTGCAATGCCGATGTGTCAAAATGACTTGTAGCTTGTGATATATTCGTCGTGGTACACACATAAACATTGGCAAGATGTTGGCAAGCAGACGTTGGGCAAAACCGCTTTAAGGTGTTCCGATTCTCCTTGTCTCATAGGTATTGTATACGCTCTCACGAATTCCTTCGGCATATTGTTCGATAGTTTTTTTTTTGTGCTTTCAGCGATTCATTAGTGACTTCATCTAATCGCTGAGATGTTTGTATGTACAAACATTTCACAAAAAAAAAAAAAGAGAAAAAAATTACAGAAAGCTAGGTTGAACGGTCATACGGGTTAAGTTATGACGGAAGTCGGCGATTTTGGCAAGAAGCTGATAGAACTAATAGTTAAGTATGGGGAGGTTCGTTCATAGTGATCTCACGCAGTTTTCCTCCTCGGTTCTGATCTGTGGTGGCAGATACGTTTAAGCAAAACGTTTCTGGCTAGCGAAGAATACTATCGGAACAATGGATCGTATTGGTTAGCGTCTTGTTGATTTTTTATGTAAGCTATTCACCTGTAGTAACTTAGCGATCGTTCATTATTCTTTTCAATAGCTGTAATAACACCTGTTCCTTGAAATGGTTAGCTACGATACGGCGTATCAGTAGGAGGCTTTGTCGCTATCATAGGTTCTATGATAGAGAAAGGTATTCATGGTGCTTTCTAACAAACCTATCGTACCGCAACAAACTATAAGAATGCAAATAAACTACATCTGTACTATGGCAAAATATGATTTATAATAATTTGAATAACTTAAGCTTCTCGTTTGCATACATGAAAACTAAAAGCATTATTTATATCTGCACGTTAATGTACCTGAATCAGGTATAAAAAAAGCATCTAGTGAATTTCGTTGCAGCTTGTGTTGAAGCAGAGTGTCCAGTCAAACGACCAGGTCTTTTGGCATATCGCACAACCGCTTGTTCCTGTTTGTTGTTATACCTTGCATCAAAGGACATTCAGAATCTAAAAGCATGGACCAGTAATATCGGCTACATATAAAGCAGAAAATTGGCCAAGTTGCTTTTTCGCGTGGACAACACTCTGTAGGGGTATGACATGAAATCAATGCTAGCTTAAATTTGATTTTATCTCGCTTTGTTAGATAGTGTCTATGGTACTATTTTCCTGGGACTTAGTAACCCATTATCATATTTTAAACATAGCGGGTGCTGGAAGGCTGATGGAGCTCAGTAGTGGATAATGGCTTGTTCCTAAGCGTTGTTTCCGACGGTGGTATTAGCTAAAATGTGATACTCTGACACGAAGGCGTCTTGACCCCTTGGTCGCGTGGGATCATGGAATACTGAGTGATGATAGCGAGGCGTCGATCACTCGCAGAACTAATTATCTGAACGAAAAGATCGAGGATTTATTGCGGAATATGGTCATGTATCCAATGCGTCTATGAGTAACTGCTTTCTTGCAAAAAGACGTTTTACTAGCACATCTAGCGATAGATGTCATGATCAAGATTGCAAATGCGCCAGGACTGATTGGCCAAGAATATACAGGACGTTTATCTCTTTAAAGGTCCAATAGTTCAATGTATAGTTTCCAAATAAACAATTCATGTTGAGTAGATCTGTTGCCTTC